GGTGCTGCACAGGGTGCCCCAGCCTGAGCTAGTGCACGCCTGGAGGAAGCAAAGATCCCAGCCCCAGCTGGCATCCATGGTGGACACTGCTTGGCAAAATTCATCTCTGAGCTGTGCCTCTGGTTTTCCCATTCCCACGAGCTGCCATTCCTGGCTGCTGGTGAGTCAATCCTTGGCCATGCCATGCTCTGCTGCTCTGCATAAAGCCTCAGCCGTATGGGGAGCCCGTAATATAGCGGTTGCAGACGGTGTTCCCCTTCCACACTGAGATGAAGCCAAGACTTTCTTAAAAGTTTGTTTATGCAGAAATCATCCAATTCATAAAGAGAGATTCCCTCACTTGCTGGTTTCTTCCCTACGCAAGAAGCACTCTGTCCTGCTCTCTTGTCCCTCTCCCACCCCCCGGGTGACTCATTCCCCTTCACCAACCCAACTCAACCTCAGCAGGGGCAGGACCTGGCCACGGGATTCCCACTCCCTGTCTTCCTCCTGGTGGAGAAACGTGACCAGCCCAGCAAGAGCTGATCAGGTATGTCCTTAGCCCACCAGCTCTGGATCAGGCTGCTGGTGGGAGCTGGCAAGCATTGGATGGAGTTTGGCTTGGGATCCTGGTGGTCCATGTGATGCCGAAACCCTTTACACTCCCCTGGCCCTGGGTTTGCCTGGAGCCAGAAAAGCTGCCTGATCAACGTTCAGCTGAGCCTGAAACACTAAATACCTTGGCTGTCACAAGTGAGCTTACCCATCAACTCCATCACGAGGCTTGGGCCCAGTGCAGAAACTAGAAGGTGGATTCAGTTCAAAGTTAAGCAATCAGCAATTTATCCCATCACTTGGAAACTCTTCTAGTGCTCGCCTACACTCTCAGACTACACCTCTGAGCATGCCGCATTCCCAAGCTGGCAGCTGGGTTTGTGTCACAGCCTCCTTGCTGGAGTTCAGGATTGACTGCTGGTCCAGCAAAGTCCTTCTGCCCAGGTAGACCCTGCTGAGATCCTGAAACGGGTCCTGTACAAGAGGTTTCAGACACGTGTTGTCAGTCATGGGTTGGGTGTGCAGTCCTGCTGTCACCATACCCCAGTATGTGCAGCTTACGTAGACAGAATGGCAGAAATCCTAGGAAAGACTTGCCATACAGGCACAGAGGGAAACGTGGGACTAAACAGACTCAGCTGTTGGAGAAGGCAAAGCCCTGGCTCAGGAGCAGAGGACAGTGAGCTTTGGAGTGAATTCAGTCTGTTTATGTAAAATTCAGATTCAAAGCCAAACCCTGCAGTGAAGCCCATCCTGGAGGAGCTGTCATCACACACCACTGGACACACGAGGGCTGCCCTGGTCCTCTGACTGCCCAGAGCCTCCTGGATCTGGAGAAGGTCTCAGCAGAAGGACTGGATATAAGGATCAGGGGGAAGGAAGGAACAGCAGTTTTTGCTCTCTCTGCTGTGCTCCTCCCAGGCTGCCGCTTTTGTCAGGGCTCCTGACAGCCCGTTCAGCTGAAGTGCACTCACTCCGAAGATGTAATCTGGGGTTATGTAAGACTCCAGTACCTTTGGTGACTCACACGCCGTGTCCTGACACGCCGCTCCACAGCCATTGTGTAACCTCACTGGGGAAGCACGCGGTGGCCGGCCCCACGCATGGGATGGGGAGCTGCAGTGGGAATGGGGAGCTGGGATGGGGATGGGGTCTACCCTCCTGTGGAAAGGTAATCCCACTGAAGGACCATCCCATTCCTCTAGCATAGGGAGAGGAAGGAGTCCTGCCACGGGGGCGGCCCTGAAATGAGCAGGGCTGCCGGGGATGTGAAAACTGTGAGATTCACTGGACTAGAAAATCTCTGGTTGGCATCCAAACCTGTGGTTTCCCCCATTGTGTGCTTGTAGTGAACACTCTACTACTGCTTGTAATGAAAGGGTTTATGGTAGAAAGAGAGGAAAGGGGATATCTTCTTCCCTTGGGCAGGAAGCGTTTCTCTGGCGGTGATGGAGCCTGAGTTTTCTCTTATTTAAGCAGGGAAACATCAAGAAGGACTTTGCTGCCGGCAATGGAGATACCAGCTGTCTCCCTGGCAGAAAAGGAGGATCAGGCCTTTGTGGAGCTCTTGGAGCTCACAGCAGATGTGCAGGGTAAGAGGCAGCCCACCTTGCATCAGCAAGAGGTGCAGGCACCCATGGGCAGCAGCAGCATGGGGAGCAGGGCATTGTTCCCAGCACTGGAGTGGAGATAGAGCAGCCCAAGGGGGTCAGGACGGATAAACCCATAGGGACAAATGGCACGTGGCTCTGCCTCTTGTGCACGATGCTGCAAAGCGGATTGTGTGTGCCTGTGTATGGGGGGGGAGCCTGCCTCGGGCCCCTTGCAGCAGTGTCCAGTCAGACACATTTCACCGTCTCCTGCTGCAGCACCACCAGCAGCACAGAGCATGGCAGGGGCCAGCAGGGCAGAGAGGACCTCACGCTGGCCTCATCTTCCTTCTTCATTCACAGTCTGCAGCTGCTGGAAGGACACAAGTCCACCTGGGCAGCTGTACCTTGGCTTTTTCTGTTGCTGTGGTGTGGTTTGGGTTGGGTTGGTTTATCTCCCTGCCTGTATTCTGCATTTCAATGCATGTGCCACAAATGGAGCTCAAACATCTCAGCTCCCCAAGGCAGCGGATCTGCTGTAGATGTGGGTATGCTGGAGGAAGACTAAGCGTTGGCAAGTCAGCAGCAAATGTCTGCTCCTCTGAACCCGCACTGCCAAGGAGGTTTGGACCTCATCCTGCCTACCACTCATGTCTCCCAAAGAAATCAGAAGCACTGAACAGCATGCTGCAGGTTTGGGTGCTGCCTTGTGACTTCAGGGCCAGCACATCAGTTGGGACAAGTCAGGGTAGCTGCACTGAAGGCAGACCAGATGAGCAGATATTTCCCTGACATCTTGCCAGCCCTTGATTTCTGTCCAGGACTCCACACCTACCCCAGCCTACCTTCTGGTGTAGAAGTACTGGGTTTGAATCATGCAGAGGATTTGTAGCCTGGCTCATTAGCTCAACTGAAGGATAAAGTTAATGAAACTCCTCTTGCTCAGCAAGGATCTGGTTCCCAACGTTTAGTAGCTCTGCAATGGAGTGATAACATATTGGGGCTGAGTCTCGGCTTCACGACTCCACTTTTAGACTAGTGTAAAATCACAGTAATGCAGACATCAGACTTATTATTTATGATACAGTTATACATTATACAGTTTTTGCCCCCTCAGTCCACAGCTAGAAATCACCACTTCCCACATGTGGCATATGCCATGCTTTATTTTTAAAAAATTACTTCCATCTTTCTAATGAGTAAAAGCAGAGCAAAAAGATGAATTAATGCGACTTGTTATTAAGTTATTAGATGCTTACAAGCCCACAAGACCATGCAAGCATTCAGCTTCACAGGAAAGAGGGCAACTGAAACACATTTCAGAGCCAGACCCTTGCCTGGTGTAAAGCAGAAGACACTGGCTCCAGCAGAAGTGCCTGCTCCTCGCTGCAGTCAGTTCCCAGAAGCGGCTCACCACGCAGCCCGGCACTGGTGACGCTGCAGGACGCCCATGGAAAGCAAGCCAGTTATTTTCCCAGATTAATAAGGCAGAGTGATCCACAAGTTGTGTTCTGATGGCTACAACCACACAGCCACTGCGAATGGAGTCTGCAGGAACATGCCCTGCCTTTGCCCGCCCCGTGGGCTGCTCAGGCACAGGATGTCTCTGCAGGCTGGCAGCGCTGCCTGCTGTCACACAGCCCTGGCTTCTCACTGTACAACCTGTCTCAGACACTTGCGCTTTGCCAGGCTCCAATCTCTATCCCGGGCTGGCCCCCGATGTGCTGGCTGGCTGCCGTGCTGGGAAAGCCCGGGCGAGGGTGGGGCTGGGGAATTACATGTTTTGTGTTTGACCTCTTGGGAAAGCTCTGGGATGGACATACAGATGTGGGTATCCAGAGGGAATAGGAGGGGGAAAGTCTGATGTAGGGGTGGGATAGATGAGGAGGGACAAGCTGGAATAAGGAGCTGTGGGAGAGGAAGAGATGGACCTCAGAGGACAAAAGGAGAAAAGAGGAGTCCCTCTCCCCATTAGGACCTGTCCCTTCAATGCCTTGGATGAACAAAATATTCTCATCTGCATTTCTCCTCTGTCATCAGCTTGAACCTTCTGGTCCTGCACCTCATGTCAGTTGGCACACTGTGGATGGTAGCCTTCCACAGTGACGAACACTCTGTTAGATCCCATCACACTTTTGCCTGGAGGCCTTGGCACTCTGGCTCTGCTGCTGGCCCCATCACCAAAGCATGGTGGGCCTGCTAGGAACCTCCAGTGTGTGTCCTGCGACCCAGGAGTGCCCATGCAGAGGTAAACACCGGTGCAAGTGACCTTCAGAAAGCTGAGGTTACAGAGCTGCCGGTTTAAAAGACGCCACAGGAAGGCTGCCTCTGCATGTTCCTCCTTTCATTGTTTCCTCAAGGCTTCCCAGCCAGGCTCACCTCCACACACAAAATGGATGGTTCCCACCTGCAGAACAACAGCTAAGCTAAAATCCTGCTTGGAAACATACCTGAAGCAGCCCTGTGCGAGCCCTAAAGGAGTTTAACTGCTGAGCTTAGGGAAAATTAGCCTGCTCTACTGCGCTAATGCATTTATATTGTTCCTGGTAGAGGTACCTGCTCTAACCCAGCTAACCACACAGCACAGCCCTGCTAACAGCTCCATGACTTTCTCTCCTCCACATTGGCCAGCGTGTGGGCTCCATGCTGCCTTTACAGCTGATTGCACACAATTCCCTTGGACTTCAGCATCCACGAGTTTTGCAGTCCCTCCACCTCCAGTGGCAAAGCAAAGGGGATTCCTCTCCCACGCGCAGCTCTGTGTCCCCTTACAGAAGCAGGTCCTGTATGCCAGAGCTTCTGGAAAGGCAGTGTGCAGTTCTGTAATTAAAGCCTGGATCCTAATGTGCAAGTACAGAGAAGCCACACGCTGGCTGCTTTACTTTGTAGCTTGAATAGCATTTCTTTAATGTAGGTGGGTTGGTTTTTGACTGGGTTTTTTTTTTTTCATGCATGCGAGAAACATAAATAGGACTTCATCTTTTATGCATTTTCTTGTGCCTTCCAGACCTAAAGCTCCTCTCCATCATTTGACATCGTTCCTTGTTTTGAAAGATGCACTTCCTAGAAAAAGATACAAGAGTGTTTTCATTACAGTACATCACATTCACATACATAAAATATTAAAAGCAACATAGCTGAACCCAAACCCAATGCACTACTTAGAAAACAGTACTAGTCTTTTCTCTAGGTTCACATCAGAGATCATGATAAATCCTTCTCTGTTATACATTACAGCCTCCATGGATTCCCAAGGGGAGTGCGCATCACACTTAGAGAATCCAGAAGGGTCTGTTATGAAAGGAGCAGAAGGTGGTTTCCTGTTTATATGCATGCACACGCAGACAGACATAAACATATGGGTGTGAATGTATGGATGCTTACACAGCATTTGTCAGTACTGCTGAGGTGCATTGGCTGTGCCTGCCCCACACTGCTACCTGCTGAGGACAGAGTGCATTTCCCAAGTCCTCTCCCAGTCTGTGCTGGGTCTTCCTAAAAAGCCCTGGGAGAGATCCTGAAGTCCAAGGACACAATGCCATAGAGGGGGTGATGGGACATGGCAGCGGATGGCAAACATGGAGCAATCACAGACCTATGGAAACAACACGTCTTCATTTAACGAGCAGACCCACTAAAGGAGCCCTTTAACGTCCTCCAAACATCCCCACTCAATTCACTGCAGTCAGACTTCAGCCCCAAGTGAGCCAGGCTTGCTCTCAGGTGGTTCTGAGAGGTGACGCTTCAGACCTTCAGCAATGTCCCTTGGGGACAAGTGCCAAAGCAAGTCATCTGCTTCACATAAGGAGGCAGAACAGTTTTCCTTCTCTTAAAGGGTGTCACAGGGGCTCATCCCCTCAGTAACCAACTGCAATATTCACTGAAGCCAGGTAGTATTAGGAAACAAGAACTCAAACCATCCAGGACTATATGCAGCATGGGACCTAATATGGCCTCTCAGTTCGCTCCTCCTTTTTAGAGGAGCAGGTTTACTGAAAAGGAAAATTCTCCCAGAGTTAGTGCCTACATGTTTTTCCATCCGCTAGCTCTTTCCCCATCCCTCAGATCCGTATGTTTTTCCAGTCTGTCAGATCTTCCTTTGTGTCCCACATGTGTGTTACCTTCCTCCTCTCCCCTGGGAAGCTTCCCAGTGCCCACTTGGTCCCAGCCCCTCTGATGCCACCCTTCCTTTCCCTTCCCAGGGCAAGGCAGCATGAAACAGCACTGCTCCTATCTCCCTGCTTACTGGGGTTGAAACCATTTCACCTGCTAATGTAGAAACAGTAAAGTGCTTTCAGTGAAAGCTCTTTGAGAAATATTAGCAAGCATTTACTGAATCTTTAAAAATCTACCCAGTCCTCTCCATTCTGCTGGTTTCCAGAAGGAGGAACCTTGCCTTTGTTCAATATGTCTTAGAGAAGTTTTATATAAAAAATTATTGGTGGCTTTTTTCCATGGGTGTTTTGCCCCTCTCTCTTTTTTTTTTCATCTTGCTACTGAAAAAAGGGGTAAATGAAAAAGGTTCCTAAAGCATCCAAAGTCATACCCCCATGCTTCTCTTCAATATTATTTGCTTTTCAGAATCAGATTGAAAACTCTGTAATTACTGTGAGTTTTAAAACAAATTTAAAGGGCTGACCCCTCAAAGTCCAGGTGGCTCAAGCTTCAGTAGCCATGAAAGAAAGTAAAACCAGAACCAACAGAAACTATGAAAAGCCTTTTATGGGCAGAAAATCTTAATGGGAGAAATGTTAAAGGTGTTAATAGTACCAACTCCAGATTCAGCATCTCCTGTAAATAGGGAAGGGAATGTTACTTTTAGCAACTTTAGGCAATGACAGGAATTATTGATTAGCTCAATGAGATTCTGTATTTGCAAGGGGATATCCTGCCAGCAAGACTTATCCCTCTGTTGCCAGAGTAGTAAAGAGGCCAGGGAGAAGGTAGATAGCAAAGTGAGTATTCAGTGAGGGCAGGGCAGGGGTGCAGAGCCCCCAGTGCAGCACAACCCAGGCAAGTGGGTTCCTATGGCTGCCTGCCTCCTCTGCTCCCAGCAGTGGCCACTCCAATGGTGTTTCCATGAACAGTGAAAAGAGACTTTGGTCCAATAAGTCCCAGGAGAAGTACCATGCTAGAAAAGGGAAGGGCAAAAGGGAAGAAAAGCAATGAATGGTAATTAATGTCATATAGCTGTAGTTAGACATTTGCTTGTAAATCATGTGATGCTGTATAACATGTGGAAAGACAATTGATGCAAGCTATTCAAAGGGAAACTCCATGATACATGGAGAAAACTCTTCAGCTGTATGCCTCAGGCTGAATTTTCTCAACAGAGAATACCTGCACCATCACAGACTTCAGTGCCAAAAGGGACTATTCATTTATTAGGTTTATATAGCGCTGGGCACTTCTAGCAAGTCATACAAAGCTATGTGATTCATACAGACCGCAGCCCTAATCCCAAAATGTTTACTGTCATCAGTGAATAAAAGGCTAAGCTGTGACTGGCACTCTTGGCTGGAAAGAAGCAGAGACAGTGCCCTTACTATATTGGGATGAAGATGTCCTGTTCCTCCAAAGCCTGAGCTGGGTGCATGTCCTCCCTGCAGGGAGTGCCAGCCAGGCTCATGCAGAGACAGCCAGGAGGAACCTGGTGCTCACCAGCAATTTCAGATACCTGTTCAGATAAACACAGATGCAGACGAACACAGGAGTTGAGGTTATTACCTATGTGTTTGAAATTAAATTAATACAGTCCTAATTCCTTCTTTTTATTTTGATAATATTAAAATACCCCTAATTAATTTTGTTCTTCTACACATCTTTAAAACTGCCCTATGCTTAGATGATAAAACATCCTCTCCCTCTCCAAAAGTGTTTTTATGGTCTTATGCGATGTGAATTCTAATCAGTACTGGGGCAACAGCATTAATCTGGAATTTTTCCAATTCAATTTGAAGCTACTGACCTTCTAGCAAATATTTTCAAACCAGCAACTCATCTTTTGCTATTAAACAAGCCCAAATATGTTATTTGTCATCTCCTTGATGTTCTGAAACAAACAAACAAAAAGTGATTATATTAGTACACATCTACAGTAACAGTAATAAGTATGGCACTGTTTGTCCATTTCCTGGGTTTCAGTCATTGTTTGAGGAGAATGGAAGGCAAAAGGTAGTTTACCACTAGAACAAAGGTGCTGTGTAGCACCATGCTGGGAACGGTACATGAAACCCATCTCTGCTGTGCATCTCTCTGGCTGGTCTTCTATAAATCCCCTTTTTTAAATCATCCATGCATTTAAAAAAGGCCCTTTGTAGGCATAGTTGTGTAGGTTGTGATAGAAACTCGAAATAAACATGCAAATGAAATATTTCCTCCCATGATTTTGCAAAGGTAGTTTATGATTGTAGAGCTAATTCATTGTTCAAAACCCCTTTTTTCAGTAGCATATATAATGCAGCTGGCTTTGTCACGCTGATTAGCAAGGATGTTTTCAATGCACAAGCACAGTACGACAGCTATGTGTGATCCCCAGTAACTTTCTGGGCAGTGGGGAAGCTCTGAAGGAAAGCAGATGTTGGGAAAGATTTTGGAAAAGGTAGAGAGAAAGATCTAAGTATTTATAGGCTTGTCTCCTGACACGAGTCCCAGCAGTAAAATGGAATGACTCATACGGATCTAGATTAACAAAGAATTAAAGGAGGGAGATATAATTAATGCCAATCAACAAGAGTTTATGGGAAGAGACCCTTTCAAACTGACTTATCTTTCACCAAGGAGATTACAAGATCAAGTGATACATGCAACGAAGCTGATGTAAAACTCCTGGACTTCTTTAAGGCCTTCAACTTGTTGCAGCAGGACATGTTGATTAAGAAACCGGAACAATATCAACTCAACGTGACACATATAAAATGGTTGTTGAACTAATCATCCCTGACACAGCACCACAGTGTTCCTGGAAGGGTGCTTGGGCACCGCAGGCAGCAGGTACTGCTCCCTGGGTGCCACCCTGGGATGTTTGGCTCAGTGTCCCCCTGTAACCATTTATCCATGCCTCGGTCCTTGCACCCCTTCCCTTTGCCTGCTGGCAGACCCTGGTAATCAGCTGGGTTTGGTCCAAGTTGTTTATTTTCTCTCTAGCCCTTTCCCACCCTAGGATGGCTAGTGCACGGTGTGAATTTTCAAGGTGGCATCTACTTATCAACAACTTTTTAACAGAAAAAAAATGTTCCTGTAACCCTGCTCAGTCAGTTCTTTATCTGCGCCAACTGGTATTTTATCAAGGACTATCAACAAACAAAAGGATTACTACTGAGTTCTGCAGATGGCACCAAGACAGAGAGAAGGGGTGGAAATTAAAGAACATGCCACTGGTGTGGAGCAAACCAGTTGGCAAAATTGCATTCAGGTAAGCAATGCATGTTTGAGTATGACCCAAGTTAAAAATCATACTGTAGGAATAATAAAGCATAGTTTTAGAATAGGGGATACGTGCATGGAGCCGAAGGGTCGGAGATACTGAAAACAGCAAGAAAGTCACAGCTGAACCTGAGTTTCCAGACTTCATAGTATCTGAGAGGGATAAACAGCTTCTTAAATGTGGCATCAGCAAAATAAGCTGCATCACATCTATATTTGGGTTTAGTGTTATTACAGCTGGAATACCATGTTCATGTCTGGCACAGGCAGCACTGACCAACAGATAAGGTGCAGATGAAATAAGGAAAATGTGCATACTAGTGCTTACAAACTGGAATAGGATGCCTTTTGGTGACAGACTGCAAGATTTCAGCCTCTTCAGTCTCTTAAAGAGATGGCTGTGGACTGAGCTGATTTCTGGTTGGGAGTAAAAGTTTGATGATCCACGAGACAAAGGCAGGAGAGATGCCATAGCTGGAAGCTGTCATTAGCAGGCCTGTCCAGAGCAGAAGCAAGAATTTCCAGCAGTGATGGGGAACAATCACATGGACAATTTCCCTGGATTGCCCACAAATTCTTTGCCTCTGGTAATATTTAAATGAAAGATACAATCTAAATCAAACACAAGTCAGGGAAATTCACACAGAGGGACTTCGGGGCTTGGTTCTGCCAAAGCTTTGGAGACCATACAAATTTATTTCACCACTATAAACAGTTACTTCCTATAAACTCTCGGGCATGCCAGTTACTAATTTGTGCTTAAAAACATTATGTCTGCTACAGTCATCTATTCTTTTCCCATCCTTGTGAATCAAGTCTTTAATTCAGTACCAACCACTCAGGAAATGATGTGGGGGGAACAGTAACATACCTGGCTTAGATGGCAAAGAATCCAAAAGGATTTATGTCTAAGACGCAGCTCTGATAGGGTCACGCACTAGTTGGAATGGACGAGGCTTGTTATAAAACACTTATTTTAGCTTCAAACATATGGAGTCAAATTCAGAGCTAGCATCACCACCAACTGGCTACTTGTCCTTTGTAACCTACAAGGCATCAGGTTCATATAAAACTAAGGAGATATTTTCAATTCTCTCACTTCTCTGAACACCGATCTTGTGCCAACCCATGACACCAATGCTCTAAGCTGGCGCTCCAGAGCAGATTCTGTCCCAGAGCTCATGATTCGCATAGGCATTTGCATCAACTGGTGGTGGATTTAGTGCAGTTTGGGCACTTGATAGCGTTCCCATCACGAAGGTTAATGTCCCATGCACCATGCCACATGGCTCTGCAGGCAAAGCACAGTGTGCCTGGCCTTACAAATAAGGAATTTAATGAGGCATACAGACAAGGAACCACCACTGTTTGCTCCTATTTTCTCACAGTCACAGCCCAGAGTCTGAGTCTCTCCAGTCCATGAGGAATGCAGAGCAATTGCACCGCCACAGCCGCCCTGCTGCCCCTGCGGACTTGCTCTTTTCCTGTATGGAAAAGCAAGTCTGGAAGTTAAATGGAGACAGATCAAAGGAAGGAGTCAACACACAAAATTTTCTTCCACTTTCAGATCTCAGTCTCTGCAGTACACGAAACTGAGGAGGAAAACCTTTTCTCTTTCTGTTTTCTCTGACATTGAAATCACATTTCACCTTGGCCTTACAGTGGGTTGCACTTGGGCCTCATTATAACTGAGCATGGACTATTGATTCAGGCTGCAGATAGTAATCAGTCCTTTTCTATCAATAGCTTTGCCATTTCCATTTTCAAAATCGCACACTTCTTCCTACTATAAAACACTGTTAAGATAATGTATTCTGTAGAAGTTGCAATTTTAAAAACAAATACAAAAAATGATTTCAAACCAAAATGATTAGTTTTAAAGACAACACTGATGATGAAACAGTCCTGGAAATCTTCCACTGATTGGGATTACCACAGAATTTCTACAAGAAAAAGACAGTAAGGTGTTGGAATAATAATGCATAAATAGTGGTTACAGCTCTATGGAAGTAACGCATTTTAAAATGCGTTCAGTAAAGGCTTACAGAAACACCAGAAAGTTGCACCAGAGCTAACAATTATCAGTCTAAAGTAATATATTTGTATAAACCAAAATGATTTCATATTTGGGCAGATTCCCAGCAGGTGTACACCGTCATAGCTGCTGTGCACAACGAGGCAGCTATAACAATTACATTAGCTGATTCTCTACTTGCCTCGACCAGCGGATGTCTTTCAGTCCCCAGCCTTTACAGTGAGGTGAGTAGAATAGAAATCCGTGCATCAGAATACATTAAAATCAATACTTATGTTTTGTCCAGCAATTGTAATCAATTTCAGTATTTTTTTTCTGCTCTGATTGCAAACGCTCTTGAAGTCAGGGTCTGCTCTGTCTGTACAATGCAGTGTTAGAGAAATTCTGGACTTCTAATGTCCAGAAAGAAAAAAAAAAATCTAAATTCTTCCCCACAATGATATCATTTTGTATCATATTGTTTGCAGTGACAGCCAAAACAGTGACATAAAAAGGCACCTTAACTAGCAGATCTGCTTCCTGTGTCTTTGAGTCATATTCTCCAACTCTACTGGCAAAACCAAGTTTTTACAGCTGCTACCACTGTAGCCAGTACAGCTCAAAGCGCAAGTTGCAGCCTATTCTGGATAACACACAAACATCGTAATCTAAGTCCCACTTACAAAATCACTATCGCTAGCAATAGCATAAGAACCAGAAAGCATAATTTTGTTATCATACTGTTTTCTGAGTATTCAGAGTGTTTAGATAGGAAAAAATCACCTTCCAATTTGCGCATGCAGCTTAAGTAGCACCTGATAACATTGCAGAATATTTATGGGCAACAAAGAAACAGGAAACCTATGCAATCAGTTTCTTTACTATGGCCAAATTTCTAAGAAGAAAATGAATACACTTGAAACTCATCTGTTTAAGTTGGAGAAACAGAATATAGCAACAAAGAAATACAAGACAGTAGCTTCTATGCAGTTTGCCATTCCCTGTGCAAGCTTTGCTACACAGAAAAAAAACAGCACTAATCAATATTGCCATTTATTGGCAATAAAGCAGCAAAATCAGCTGCTGTTATTTTTGTGGTCTCAATAATTTCTTCTAAAGTTCTTGGTTCAAAATCACTTTGCCAGTCAGAAATGTGACTCTAAAAGACACAAACACTCCTGCCCCACAATTCCCCTTTGCCTGCACCCCTTCCCAGCCCCTTTTAATTTGGACTGTATTAAATGTGGGCTTTATTGAGGATAATAGTGGAACTCCTATTGTATCAACTAGCCTAGCATTTTTACCTAAATATCCACCAGATTCTGAGTGACTGCTGCTTCCATGGAACAGCAATATAAATACGTGTAACACAATGCTTAGTTTACTTCAATACCTCTTCACACCTGTGCACAGGACTTTCACAGATCTCAGCTTTGCCAGAGCTTGAGACAGGCAAACCCATAGGTGCAAACAGCACTACTGTGCCCGGTGTGCTGCACGTCGCTAGCCGGCTCCAACGTCTGCAGTTCAACCTTCTCATGCTGGCAGGAGTGGTCTCATTAGTTCAGGGTGAGAGCATAAGTCAATTACAGTTTTTTACAAACACATTGTAAAGAACATATCCTACTGGCAACAGAAAAGAAAGAGATGAAGCAGCAGCCCTGTGGCAAAAGCAGAGAGCCAGGAGATCTGGATACTTTTCCTTGGCTTTGCTTCAGACTTTGTGATTGACCTTGGCAAGCCAGATAGAGGCAAATCCCATTCCCTTCTCCATGCAAAGGGTCCTGCCTGCTACTCAGAGAGAGTGGCTCCGCTATGCACATGTACCACCTGAGCATATACACACCTGGACAGATGTATGTATGCACAGAAATATGGCTCATTTGCACAAGAGGTGAGTATTCAAATCCAAATTCCTGTTGTTGACACAGAGCAAGGCATTAGCTTAATCTGAGAGTGAGGAAGGAAGATAAAACACCATGCAAGTCCATTGGTTTTCTTCCTCAAGTCAGGTGTTGCAGAGCATCTTATAGTCCTGATGATGAAGTAACAGATGAACTTATTTATTGGGTGGCGTTCAAAGTCTATCCTTGTTCATGTCTCTAAAAGCGAGGTAAATATTACTTACACTGCAGAACAGAGTTCAAAGCATGAAGTTTGTCAGATAAACTACACTTTAGAAAGTTTAGTTTATCTCACTTTCTAGGCTAGATCTAGGCTTCCAGATCCCCTGAGATGCCAAGTTTCTCCAAATCCCACAACTTCTAGCATTTTTTTTTTCCTACAGAGGTTCATATTCTTTGTAATACAGATTTGTTTCTAGAACACCTGTATACTGAATACACACAAATTACTTCTCTGTCTTGCTTTTAATTCCTAACTAGATCTACTTACACCTATACCATATTCCTTCTACACTTAAAAATGATTGTGCAGAGTAACTACTGGATATATTAAGACTGTTTTGATACTCCTGGGTTCCACCCTCCTCCACCAAATCAAACAAGCAACCAGCTGTTACGAAAACGCAGTGCTGTAACAGGGTACGGGCGCCTGCCTGCACCAGGTGAGCTCTGCCAACACCAGCCCCAGCTCCCGAACGACCTGTGAGCTCTTTACCACACACCGTCCCCTGGGGTGGCGAAGTCAAGAAGAGGGAGGACATGCTTTGACAGAAGACGACCTCAGCACCGCACCCTGACCACCGCTGTACAGCAGACACGTTTGTGGGCCCCATGCAAGTGTTCCTGCTGCTGGCTGTGAGCGGGCAGCAGGGTCTGTCCCGTGTCCCTTCTCTACAGATGCTGCCATTTCTGCAACTGCTCGCAGCGGCTTCACCCCCTCCGCCCCACGGTGCTCTCCAACACCCGACCTCCCTGCCCCAGCTCACACCGTTTCTCCCCTCACTCCCTGCCCGGCCGCACTAGGGGTCTCGTCATTCCCCAAGGCCTGTGTAGGAGACACCCTACGCACCCTAATCCCCCGCTTCATGCCGCGCCGAGGCTGCTCTGGGAAGCGAAGGACAACCGAGCCATGCCTGAGCAGCGCCAGGCGGAGCCCCGGGGACGGCAGGTGTCCCGCCGACCCACCCCCGGGGGCCGGCGCTAGGGGAGGGATCGCCACACGAAGAACAACTCTACCCGCTCCGCCGCTGCCAGCCCCACACCCTGCCCCGGCGCGGCCTCTGGCAACTACCCGTCGGCGCCGGCCTCCCCGGCGCGGCCCCTTCCGGTTCACGTCGGAGCTAGCCTCGCGCGGAGGAAGCCGGGCGGCCATCTTGGCTCGTCTGGGAGCGGCGGAGGGGCGGGGGGCAGGGGGCAGGCAGGCAAGCGTAACAGGCGGGCACCCAGCTTCCCCAGTCCAGCCGCGGCCCGCAGGGTGCAGGCCCTTCGGAGACTGGAGCAGGCGGGTAGAGACGGGCCGGGATGCGAGCGGCTGCCCGGTGAAGAGGGGCTGCGGCGGGGGAAGGAGAGGGGAGTCCCCTCAGCGGCGGGCCTGCGCTGGCCGCCGTGCCCCGGGCCGCAGCGTAGAGGGGCCGGCGACAGAAACCCGGCTGTGCAGCGGAGCCCTGCCGCCTCCTCCTTCCCGCCCGCCCTGCGTTACCCCTGCCGCGCACTCGCCGCCTTCCTTCCCCTGGCTCCATCCCTTCCCGGTTGATGAGGCGCTCCCCTTCCCTCTGCTAACCCCGCGGACCCCGGCCTGGCCGTAGGATGAGCTCGGAGAAGGCGAGGCCGCTCCGCTCCCTGAGGAGGATCTAGCTCGGGCGTGAGGCGCCGCCAAAGGGTGGGGGGCACCGACGCGACGCCGCCCCCCGCCAGCCACCTCGTCCTTCATGGTGGCTCTCTGCGACCACCATCTCCGAGCAGACGCGCAGCCCGGCCCTGGGGGCCCGTGTGTGTCTGAACGCGCCGCCTTCGCGGCCGCCCGAGTGAAGTAAAATGTCCACTCGGACTCCATTGCCCACGGTGAACGAGCGCGACACCGAGAACGTGAGTACCGCCGGCTTCGGGGGGACCGGCCCGGGCACCCTCCCCGGGGGGCGACGGGACTCGGCCAGCCAGGGGCATCGCCCTGCCGAGGGCTGACATTAACCTCTTGCCGCTTGAGCTGTTCCCAAATAACCGGTTTATTTAAAATTATTTTTAAATACCCTCCCCCATAGCACGGTTTGCCCATTTAGTAACATTTGCGGGCATCCCTCCCCCAACCCGGTGTCCCATCTCTGAGGCTTTATTCGAGTGTATCTCGGTGGCGAGGATTGGATTTGTTATGTTGGTAACGGGAAGAGAAGATCCGCAGTGGGGAGGGGGGTCCCGGTTGGTTGCTGTCTTATAATATGCAAACTTGCTGCTGAAAGCTGCCAAATAAACCTCTGGTAAACAGAAGGTAATAATCCAGCTTTGGTAGGGTGGGCTAGGTGACCTAGATAATGGGCCTCTTCCCTGCTTAATTTGCAGGGTTCTCGCTGATAATGACGCTGTTAGGCTAGTCACCTGTTCAGATGACATTAAAAGGGTTTCTTTATTGGAACTATTCTTCAGACAAGGGGATCTGTTTACCCCCACCCCTCTCCTTTTTTTTTTTTTTTTTTCCTTAACAAAGCCAGGGTTTAGGAATTGACACTTTATTCACAAGATTGAGTCAAACACAATATTAATAATCACACAGGTCACATGCTGAAGGGAAGGGGGAAAAATAAAAGTCCTGCCACATGAGCAGAGAGCCACAAACGAAGCTCAGTAGGAGACTCCCTTTCTGCAGATAGGAACGTATTTCTTTTAAGTTAAAACTTACTTGATCCCTATGTATGCTGTCGAACCATTTTTCTGCATAGGCTCTGACATATTCCCAAATGATAAACAGAAGGGAGTTGTCACTCACTGTAGTCTAAAATGAGTCGATCAGTGAACTTTGTATTCAGCTTTCTGTAGAGTTTATCTGATATTCTTTAGGAGGCAGATGCTAAACTTGATGGAGGAGGCTTTTTTTACGAGGGCTTCTTATGTTTTGGACTGGCATAAAAAGTGGAAACCTTGGTTAAATATCAGGAAAAACTGTTGGATTGTTCCTGACCATAAATAGTCTGAGAAAAGTGATGGTAGCCCCATTGTTTAAAACAAGACCAGACAAAGCGTTAGGAAACATGCTGCATGGAACAATTACTGCATTACTAGGGATTTAGATTTTATTGACATAATAGGCACTTCAGACTTCTGTGATCTTTATTTGTTTTAGCAGTAGATGCAACCTGCAGGCTAAAGGCTCTATTGGGTAAAAAGCTAACTAAGCATATTTGGTTGTAAAATCTCAATGAGCTTCCTGCCTTGTGGAAGAAAATAATTAAAATACTATGCAGCCCTTCCTATGCCATAGGGAGGAGTTGGAAGTTGTAGCATACACTACAAAATACTATACACAGTTTATTTGGATAATTGTTCTGGTCTGTAAGCAGACCTGACTGAGGTTTTCAAGCTCCATGTATATGTGTAGAGGCCACCCAGTAAATCATTTTAGAAAGCATTCAGGTAGGGTTCTCTAATTAATTCAAACTCTACCCTGGATAACTTAATGGGGGAAAGACTGAGTATGTGCTCAAGGAAATACATTATTCACAAGCTGTGTGTTCTAGCACTTGAAGTTAGATTTTTTACATGTCTTCCACTTAAGGCACATTGTTCTCACTTCAAAATACTGGTCTAACACTTCTGTTTTGTAGTCTTTATAATTTAACATACATGGATTGTCATGCTTGCAGATGAATTGCCTTAGGTTTAGATTAAGGCATATTTTTCAGTTGCTGTAATGTGGGTTGGTGACCACAGAAATACCTGTAGCTAGTGATATTGGCAGGGAGTGATTAATCCGAGTACTCACCCGGTCCATTGAGCCAACCCCTCCCCATACAGTATCATATCCTTCAGGAAGCTGTCTCTTATATTCTGGCTATCTAGAAATTCACCAAAACATGTTCTCTTCATCCTTGCTTAAAACTAAATTTAAATCTGACATTTAGTCTCTCTGAATTACCCCTACAGCTGTGAATGCCAGGTCTCTTTTTTTTAATACCAAATGTAACAATTTTCATACTTCAGTTAACTGTTCTGCCACCCCAGAGATCAATGGGTGTATTGTGCTGACAGGTAAATTGAGCTCTTGATTCTCTTTCACGTGAGAAGTTTAATTAGTTAATATTCATAGTACTCTCTGAAGCTTCGGTGAGAGGAGGCTGAAGAGGTGCCAAGGTATTTGGGCTATGGTTGTGGACCCCTTTAGTGCCTTCTCTCTGCTTGGAACGTTACCACTGCTGACAAAGGCTTGGTTGGTGTTGAATCTGGTTGAAGCATGCTGATCATAGTTTATCCATGCCTATACTTGCAGTTTTGAAAATGAAGTTAGCCTCCAGAATGACAGTGAGCATAAACTATCATTGTCTGTGCTTGCAGTTAACCACATTCAGTGGCTGGCAGCTCCTGTTGAATAGAGAAGGTCTAATTGTCAGTACCTGATTGTTTTTTTTAAGGCAGTGTATACCACTTCTAACTGAGGCATACTGCTGAAGTGGAAATACTGGTGCCATGACTTTCTCCAAAAGCCACTCACAGCTCTCAAGCTTTCGGTGCCTTTGAGATTAAAAAATTTGGCTCCAAGTCACCTGGTTTTGAGAGCAGAGGTATCCCAGATGATCTGTGATCACAGGAACTTCACACTTGGACAGTTGGAAGCTGGCTGTTGGCCTGTGATGAGCTGCTTCTCACTGGAGAGACAGAGCAGCTCTTCTCTTGCCACATCTTGTGTAGCAATGGCTGCCAGCTGCATAGGGGACAGAAGTGAATGAGGGGATCAGATCTTTTCTGTCTTGCTGAAAATTATGTCCTGCCTGTGGGAGAAAAAGCAACAGAAGCAGTAGAAACCTCCTTTATCCAAAACTGGGGGACAAGGTAGACACAGAAGAAGGATCTTTAGGTGGCAGAAGGAGTAAATCTGTTTCCTAGTGATGAGGAGGGAGAGAAGATGGAGGAGGGAGGAGTGTGGAAACATAATGCAAAAAGAAGATAGACAGTAGGAAATCCAAGATGCTGGGCACAGAGAAATGGGCATATGGCAGGATGGAGGACAACCAGTGGCAAAGAAATAGGAGCAGGAGGAACAAGATTGTGGGGAATAGGACAAATATTCATTAAAAAGAGTTCCCGAAGAGTGCGAAGATGAAGATGGAAACAGAGAAATACAGGTGGTTTGGAGGCTGGTAGGCTTTTTTAAGGTTTTTATAGAAAAGGAATCTTTGGACAGTTTAATTTACACCTGTTCATGCACAGTTGTTGGGGTTTCTTGGGAGAGGGCAAAAGGTAACTGTTTAGAATGTGTTGTACTGCAGGCCAGTCTGAATTAAAAATTTAAGTAATTTGAGGAAAAGCAAGACTAAAATGGGCTCTTACCTCCATGGTTATGCCTAATGTGAAAAACTTGCTATTGAAAAATGTCAGTGTGATGGTAACTGTGCTTGTACAATCCTGTACAAAAGGATTCTGTGCAGCAGAAATATGCTTTTTTTACGTTAAAAAGGATAGTAAGGTCAGGGTTAGGTTCAAAAATTTACTTTTAAGATGCTGTGAAAGTTAGTGTGGTACATCTTGGTTTATTAGCAATTAGCTATGAAGTACATTAGAGCTTTTGCAGACAATATGCAATCTTGAATTATTCTATATATTATTTATCAGTCTTCTCCTATTACAGATATATCTGTAATTGGAATGCTTTCTCCCATAGATTGAAATCCTGTTTGGGTTTTGTTGGGGTTTGGTTTTTTCTTTTAAAGAAGGGGCTGAGGAGTAAATTATGCCTATGGCAAGAGTTCTGGTAGGATTTTCTTCTGCAGGGACCATCTACATTCTTCCATATTTTTCACCAGTTGTCATAAGTATTCTGGTTTGAAATAAATTAGGTGAAGGTGGCAAGATAACTAAAAATGTTTTAGGAATTCATCTGGGATGTATTTTTTTAATTTCAAAGTTTTACAGACTGGGAAAATGTTTTTTCTCCATTTCTTACTGGTTGGGATACCCGATAGGTCTGGTTCTCAAAAAATTACCTGATTAGCTTGTGTGACGTTGCAAGTATATTCGCATTTTGAAGTGGGAAGTTTCATTCTTCAGCTCTGCTAAGTAGGCTGTGCCATGTTGCTTAATCATTTGGGTTTACTGTCAGCTTGAACTGATGGGAGCTGCTAGGGGCATCAGCCTTGGCTCCCCTCCTGTGGTTTGTGCCAGCACTGATTACTGCAGGGCTGTAGGACAAGTCTGGTCAATGCTCAGATATGACTGAAATGAACCCCTCCAAAAAGTGGGTTTATCCCCATTCTGTGTGGCTGCAAATACTGACGCAGAGGAGAGGATGGGAATATCCAGTTCAGGTGGGGAAGGCTACAAATGAGTCTTACTATTTTTGTTTTGGTTTGATTTATGCCGGTCATAACACAGCACTCTAGGGCTAAGATAACTTGCATTCTGTCACAACTACAAAGATACGTAACTACAGTGAACACTTTTCACAAATTAATGGTGTTCTGCTCCTGCAGCAATCTTCTTTACCTTGTTTACATGATTTCAGTAACTCAGAAAAACTAAGCTACAGGACCTTGCTCCAGTAGTTGTTAAAAAGTCAGACTTAGTTCATGTATTTTATTAGTGCTGCTGAACGTGTCTTGAATTATGGTTTCAGAAGTATCAGTCTGAAAAACAGAACACAGCTACAGAAATTATGGAAAGAAAATAAACAAGAGGAAATACAGGGTTTAGTACACTAAACTTTGTATTCGTTGTCCTAGGCTTTTTTAGCCACTCACCTAAATATAATTACCTGCTCAATTCTCCATTTTAATTCAAGTCAAAAGACATATTTTTGTTGATGCAAGCGGACAATTCCTGTTGGCTACATGTCTCAGGTGACTCAAGTCAAAGGAATTCTAAGAGTGGAGGCATTTGTCTCTCCAGATCTCCCTTTCATATGATATGTAAGTAGCATGTGTCTGCAACTTCCTCTTCTCAGTCAAATAATGCTGCCTAATGGATGTCAGCCAGATCAGAAATGAAGGTCACTTTTTTAGACTCATGGCACATCAAAGTTAGCTCAGCTTAGTGTGAAGATCTTCTGCCTCTAAAAATGTTTAGTACAAATGATGAATAGACGCTTACTGCTCTTAAAACATAAACCAGAAAGGTACTGAGTACACCTGTGGTAACACTTAAAGTTGGTCTCCTGGATGAAACCCTTGGGTCAAGATTCTTGGCCTGTAAAGCAGCAACTTGTTGTGTTCTATGTCTATGGGTATGTATACACATATAAACAAAAAATAACTTTTGAATAAAATTTGTTCCTGCAGGGTTAAATAAACTTCTCTGTCTGCAAGCTCAGTGTGTTCTTTGAAAGCCAACTGTGAGGGTTGGGTTTGGGTTTTTTTTTCTGTTTAGTATGTAATTACTGACGGTGATGATTCTGGAAACAACTTAGCTGGCAGTATCATTGATGAAGAGTAGAATATGGTTGGCTCTTCAGCTGTTATTCCTCAGGCTGATGTCAATAAATATCCATCTTAATCAGCAGTAAGGGAACTTTTGGCTGGAAAGATATGATGAATGTCAGATATTGATAATGTGAGGCAACAAAAGAGCTTTTAAAAAGCTTTTCTGACACCAGACTTAGCTTTTTGATTATATAAGCAGGATTTCTTCAGTGTTGTGTTGTTCAGTGCTAATCATGGAATTACAGATTCACTCTCTTTCATATGCTGTATAGAGTATGAACCAAGTGATGTCAAATACGTCAGCAGAGCCTGTAGTGGTTATACGCTCCTGAGCCAGACCCTGTATTTCTGCAAAGGAGAGCATCCTTCCTTCAGTGAAGCCTGGTAGTGCTTTGCTATCGATGCTCTCACGTTCTGATCTTCAGGGCAGTGGTGCAGTTGTCACTGGCTCTTCCCACTCATCTGAGGCCAGAATTGTGAGCGTGTAAGTGTTGCTTTGGGTAGTAATGCTCCTTCTGCCAAGCAAAAGTTTCCCATATGTCAGACCCCTTGCCGTCTGCCTCCATCAGGCTGCTTGGTGTAGGGGTTGCATTGCTGTGCTTTGAGCTGTAGCTGCCTTGTCCTGACTACTGCTCCTGGGTTTTTTTCCTTTATTTCACCCTCCCCGCTGAGGTTAGGGAGAATTGGGAATGTGTGTCAAGAGTATAGCCTGTGTGTATTTACCGTTCAGGTTCTCCTTTTAAACTGGTTATTTGACAAATATGACCTAATTAAACTAGCCAGTCATTTTCATGAAGTGTCATGCCACTTAAATGAATGAGTATTATGACAGGCTGAGAATTGTACAGTGGGTTCTTCACCTTTTGGCAATGGAAGCATCCACATTAGTTTTCTTGCCTTTACCAGCTATAATGTATTTCTGGAAGGTCTGTTTGTCTCCCTTGCTGAGTTCTGACCCTTTCAGTTGTTCCACTCAATCATGGCATCCATAATGGTAGGGCTGTAGCACACTTCAGTGAATAAATCTGCCTTCATGGATTGATAAACTGATATCCAATGTGGTATTAAACTTCATTTGTAGGACAGCATTTAAAATTTCATGAGATGGAAACAATGTCTGTTCAGCCTTAGGATGGATTATTTAGCAAGCTAGGCTGAAAACTGCCTTTTAATTACATATGCTGGAATGAAAGAATTGGTTATGCAAACATCGGCACGGGAATGCTGGGTCTGACAAATCCACCTTGCTCCATGTCCTGATTTATGCCTTGGCCAGTGGTAGGAGGGAAGTAAACCGAGGACACGTATAGAACATCTTCACCTGATGTCTTCCTATTCTTTAATACAAGAAAATAATATCTTATAATATATGATGACATAAGAATTCCTAGAGCAGTAACTGGTATATGGACAGTTGTGGCTGAGTGTTTGCTGTGGCACCTCTTGGTGTTTGCCAAAAATCTATGTTTGGACTTTCCGGTAGAATTCCTTTGTCAGATGCTCTTTTGTGCTGTTTCATGTATATATCTGCACAATAAGATACTGCCTCTGAGAATATCCTTAGGGCTAACCTTTATTCTCTTGCCCTAAGTAGTACTCAGCAGTCTGTGTCTTCCTAAAGATGTGATAAGGGGGAAACAAAATACAACGCATTGTTAGGAAGGGCTGCAGTGAAATTTGTCTTCACATGTTTAAATTAAGGTTTTTTTGGGGTTTTGGGTGGGGGGAATGGGGGGTTGTTTTTGTATTTTAAAGGTATGGTATGTTTCCTGGTAAGTTTTTTTAATAAATTAGGTTGCTGCTGGGGAGTGCATGGCCAGAAATTACCGTGTCTCCTTTATATGTTGTGTGCCCAAGTTAGAGTAATGAAGCAGTTTAGTGTCTCAAATGTTCCTTATGTCGTGGAATGTTTAAAGTATTAATATTGTAAGGGATAGGCTCTAAGTACAATTTTTTCTTACTATAATTCAAAATGCTGAGATGAATGAGGCCATCACAATTGTTACTGGTCTGACAGCTTTCCAAGAAATTCTATAATACCACTTTGTAGTATTTCATATGAAGATGAGCTAACAGCCAAGGTAATAAACTTTCCTAGAGACTTTTGTAAGATTACATTTTATTAGTTCATTTAGCTGATGAGAAGGTGGTTTTCACTACTCTATAGATCAAATGCTTTAAATGTTGATACTGTTTGTCCTCCCTGTTGTAGAAAGCAAGCTTCCTACTTACTGTAAATAAACATGGATTTTTGCAGGTCTTGAGCATTCTAATTTCTTAATATTTTTCAGCTCTTCAAATGGATATCAGATTCTGTCTCTTCCAGGTTCTCAGCTATCGGCACCTTCTTAAGCAGTATAAGAACTTTAATGCAAGTCATCTTCTGCCCTGTCTAATGCTCTGAATGTTAAGATACCTCTAATCATACAGATACTGGATAAAGCTAACATCTACCAAAAAGATTTTGTTATTGCCACCTTCATACTTCATTTGCTTTTTACTTTCTTTTCTTTTTTCTTTCTCTTCATGCTAATCATTCTCTGGCTATGAAAGGATGTCGGCTCATCAGTGGGGGAAGGCTTTTGCGAAAAGGTGGGTTTTGCTTTGTGTTCCAAATATAGTTGGTGTTGGGCTCAGTCCCTCCCTTGCAGTAAGGTTTCTCACAAATGGAGATGTTTTACTCCATTTCCTTCTGGGTTGAGTAATACCGGGGTGGGGCTGGTGGGGAGGAAGAGAATGCTTTTTTGAGAGAGAAAGAGAGGTTGTTTTGTTGGCTTGAAAATTGATAGTTTTTTTTTTTAGGGAGCCCTCCTACTATGTGCACCCCCCACCCCCTTTACAGTATTTTAAAAGATTTTTTAAATGGAACCTGATGCATACCAGGATACAGAAGAAAGTGCTTTCTTGTCGTGTGGATTTCAGAAGGCTTCGTTTAAAAGAGATGGTGACTATGGCTAGCTTGAAGCTGCACAATGTCTTCTTGCTTTGGTTCCCCATCTGCAGTATAAAGGTCTTTTTTTTCATGAAAACAGGTATTTTGGGAATCTCTCAGCCATGGTGAGTGTCATGAAGGGAGTGTTACACTTGCACAGCATGCACGTCCAGGAAGTACAGCTTGCCTACCACAGCGTGTGTAAACTTCCTACAAATTAACACATTTGTTTTAAAGCTCATGTTTTGAGGACAGACCCCATTATTGAAGCCATATAAATGTGGATGTGGAAAAGAAGCCTGAAATTGATCAGAATCTTTGTGTTTCAATGGATGAGGGAGGCAAAATCAGGAGAGGTGAGGGTCTGCTTGGGAAAAGACAGATGACCTACATCTCAGTTTAGAGAGTAGAGAATGCTATTAATATTCCTTTGGGCTGAGATGGGAGCTTTTTAGTCTATTTGCTTTTTATCTTTCTGCTCTGGGAAGTACTGGACTACAACCAAATGCTATCCAAGCCAATGCATGACTTAAACTTTTCTGGACCATCTATATTTTTGCTTTTTTGCCTACACCATCTACCTGTCATGGCTTCCTGAAAATTATGTCAGTGGTAGAAACACTTTCACTCTGTTCTGAGTTCATGCCTTTTAGTACTATATGCTACCAAGCCGTCTTCTTTCATTTCCATAATCAAAAGAAAATCTGTGTTGAAACTGGAAAGCTGTTTTATTCATGTATTTGAAAGCTTGTGTTCTGTTCAGTTGACAGAGGAGGGTCTTGCTGATAGGTTTAATTCTGTGAAATAAAGCCCAAATTAAATATGGTTGCAAATAGATTTCTGCGGAGCGAAACACGTCTATGAGCAAGTCAGTTGGAGAGAACTGAACTGCTTAGGAACACGCAGCTTGAAATTCAAAAAACACAGCTGAAAAAGGTCATATTCTTAAAAAGAAATGATCTGGGTTAGGGTGGAAATGGAAGGCTCCATACAAGGAGATTGTGTTAAATTTATCAGCGCTAGTCCAAATGAGTTCACAGCTGTTAATTCCTCCTGGGAAGCACAAAGCTAGAAAGCATGAAAAATATGGTAGAGCACAAGAAGTCATTCCTCAACAGAGGATAGTGAGGCTCTGAAGATGCATTAGCTGGGGTGGTTTACTGTGTGGAATAGAATTTGGTAATATAATGGACTCTTTTATTTTACCTAATTCAGTTTATATGAAGTAGGATATGAGTAAGATCAGTTCTGAATAATCTATATGCAGATTCTCTGGTTTGGGAATATACAATATTTGATGCCTCCATCTCAACAGCCTCATAAGCTAGCTCAGGTCTACCACAGCTTATTATTTCAAGCGCAAGGGAGCACAGATGCAGATACTTGCTGAAACCGGCTTGTGTGCTTGTGCCATATATCCAGGTGTGAAAGGGCTGTAGTCTAAATAGTTGCAGTACACTTCTTTTACTGAGATAGGTTATCAGCTCAGTGAAGTGCAGTGTAAATAGTACAGCTGTATTTCTGGGATGCTGTACTTAAAATGAGCCTTCCTCTAATATATCCAAGAAATATCCTCACGGCCCTGTACAGAACATCCCAGTGTATGATCACTGGGCCAGTAGTGTAGGAGTCTTTTAGCATCTAGCGTCAGCAGTTGTTGCTTTTTTTTAGCTGGTCTGAATAATTTGACACTAGAAGGTACCAGAGGAGCTGACAGAGAAGTTCTCTGCATTGTGTGCTGCTGCAAGGTTTGTTAGAAGGTGAAGTGCAGGGAAGTGTAAAGGATGAGCATTGCTATGCCAGTACATGCAGGGGTGGCTAAGGTGGTCTGAACAGCCATCACCAGCAGCCTGGCATTAAGGGCATACAAAATAGTGAAATTGCCAATACAGGATTTCACTGGCTTTAGTAGTTCCTTCACCTGAGCAACTGCTTTTGTTGTCCTTCTCCTTGAGCGTTATTGATAAACGCTTACCCAGTTGCTCTAGGTCTCAAGATATTATTGAGAACAATGAACGGTTATCAGGCACTGAAATTTTACTGGATCTTGTAACAGGTGTGCTTCTTGTTCCTGTGCCAGTGATTAGTGGGTTTGGAAGAAATGTATACAACTGCTCCTGAAAACTAGGATAAAGGTTGCTAGAATATTAAATAGGGCAGGATGGGCTAATCATCGGGAACGCGTAATAACCTGCATGTAAGGAAACTGCATTTTACTTCAGCCAAATGAGATCATGCAAGTAAGGAACCAGCAATGAAAGTTATTAGATGTGGTAAGGGAATGGGAAGCAATAATTCTTAAAAAGAGTTAGCATCAGTGTTGGGTGGTCAGGTACAGATGCTGGTCTGCCAGGAAGGCTAGTTCTGTCCATGGAAAATCAGTGGAGTGTTGAACAGAAGATGCATTTTCTGTATTTAATCCTACTGCATGTCCAGTTCTAGCATGAGCCCCACAAAAACATGTTGGAAAAATAGGAGAGAGTTCTGAAAAGAACTGTAAGAAATGTTTCCTTGTCTTTAATCGCTCTTGCAGCAGCCTGTTTAGGGAGCTCAATATAACTTACTAAAGTGAAAGACTAATGTGATCATATTAATTTAGTACCTATATGGGAATTACAGGCCTGGTGACAATGCAGTAGCAATGCAGTAAGGAGAAGCTAAAACCAGTTTGGTACTAAAACATCATATGCACCACGTATTTGTGTGTGGCTTTTTTAAAATATTAACTATTGAAACTATTCTCCAAGAGTTGCCATATACTTCTATCAGTAATATTTCTGAAATGAAATCAATGTGTTTTAAAAAAAGAATTTGATCACAGCTGTTGAGCTTGAATTAACAAACCAGATGCCAGAGTTTATGGTCACAAGGTTATATCAGGTTACTAAATAAAAGTGTGAAACTTGCTAAGTGTCATGTAAGCATGGATTTCTTCAGTTGTGCCTCCAAAATGGTTGTTAGCTCTTGGGTTATGATCTTGTATCCTTATGATACAGTGATTTTCATATTGAGTGTTGTTGCATGACAGATTTTTTGTTATCCCTTCTGGGTTTCAGCAAGAGTAGTAGTAGTAGAAGAGCAAGATCTGGCATTTCTGGGGTGGCTGTGAATTTAGCATGTCGTATTCTGTATAGCCAGATGTTTGCTTCATAATGGCAGGCTACTGAGTATTTCTAACTAATACTTCAGTGAAGTTGGTGTATAGAGCTCAACCATGAGCTGAGAACATGAGGGGGCCTGCTCTTTCATAAACAGGCTGTCAGGAAATGAAAAAATACCAGTATTTTAACCATGCGATCTAATGAATAAAGGCTGTTGTAGGTATGAGATAATACCCATTCATTCTTATTAACAGCTGTTCAGGGAAACCAAGTAAAGGGAACTTAACAGGTTGTAGACAGCATCTCTGTAACTGGTGCTCAGCCTACTAATATCTGAGGTTTCTATATGTTAGGGAAGATTTCTTTCCTTGTTCTCCAGGCTGTCCTGTGTATTTTCAATTGTGAAGTTTTGCAGAAACAGTAGTCTAGTGAAAAAAGGAAACCTTTTATTATTTTGTCAGAAGAATTAAACTGTCCAATAAAGGTGAAAATTTTATTGTGTGTGCTTTTGGAAAAGCTTTATGTCTCCTTTCCAAAGGCTTTCCTGCTTTAGTTAGGCACAGTAATGAACATAGGAAATAATACCAAATACATCTGTGTTCTATAACTGGTTTGCAGTCCACGTAAGTTACTTAAAAATGCTCAATTATTGCTGGAGTTTAGGTGATGTTCCGTTTGGTCTTTACGAGGTGATGAAATTGATACTGTGTTATGAACTTGGAACCTCTTTATTGTCCCCATCAGAGCAAAGTTCAGTGTGAATCTGGAGTGTGAGTTGGATCCTCTGAAGGTTTTTTTCAGAGGCATTGCTAACATTTTTGCATGTTGTATGCTTCTCATCATTGATGTGTTTTGTCTTTATTTCTCAGCCTTATTTGTGTGTGTTTTTATTGCAGCACACGTCCCATGGAGACGGACGGCAGGAAGTTTCCTCTCGGACTGGGCGCTCTGGAGCTCGCTGCAGGAACTCTATAGCTTCCTGCACAGATGAGCAGCCACATATTGGAAATTACAGACTCCTTAAAACAATTGGAAAGGGGAATTTTGCAAAAGTAAAACTGGCAAGGCACATCCTAACTGGCAGAGAGGTAAAGTGGTATGAATGTAAACAGTAGTGAATTGCAGTAGGTGTGCAGATTCTCTCAGAATAATATCATCCAGGTGAACATTTTAGCATGTTTTACTAGAGATATTGCCACTCATGTATGATTAAAATGGAAAACTGTATCTTTTAGTAATTATTACAAAACAAGTTCTCTTAAAAATAATCTCTTAAATTTGTATTTTTGACAAGTCCCTCTCCAAGTGAACTGTGTTCAAGTTTGCTACTAGAATTCTCTGCTAAATTCTCTGTTCCCAAAACAGAGTTTGATATATAGCAATTAAGCTTGCTGCAAACACTGCCTCTTGATGTCTCTGTACTGCACTACTGGGGCTCTACTGGAGGGGAAGTCAGGAATGAGAATGAATATATCTTCTTGGTTATGGTCTGAGTAGCCCAAGCACAGTATTTTCTTGCCAAAGCAATGTTTCTCCCAGGAGTTTTGTTAGCATATGCAGTGCTGGGCAGCCTTAGGAAGACACTCCAGTTTGTTCAGAGCTGGTTTGTGTGTCTTGCTCAGCGTTGTGTGGTGTAGACAAGCTTTCTCCTGTATCTTTTCATAGTGTCTAACTCAGCTCCATAACTAGTTTCTGCAATGCAATTAATAACTTGCAGTTAATGATGGTTCTGATTTGGTGAACTGTAGTCCTGTTTGCTTGTTACAAGTATTTCTTAGTGCTCTTTTATTAATAGCAACTCTGTGTACTGAAAGAGGGAGAAACACCTTTTTGACCTTTTCTTGCCGATCCATCTAATGAAGTAAATGTTTGCTGATATCAGCAAGGACTTCTAAAGAAAGCTATGTGGCTGACTGCAGCACTTTAAGGGAATTTCTTTGTTCTGAGCTAATACTAGTTCAGTAGCACTAGGAGGAACAGAGAGGACATAAATTTGCAAGAGTTGTTGGGAGGGATTTTATTTATTTGTTTTGGTTTCTTGTAAGCTGCCACTTCTGGTGATGAGCAGTTGTATTCTGGTGTTAAAGTCAGTGTTCCTTTGTAGAGAAAGTTGTTGACTCCTACTGTGATTAGTTGCTTAGTTGCTTTCCACTTAAGTTCCCTTCTCTTTTTACTAATACTTAACACAGGAAATGCAAGTCCTTGGGTACTTGGTTAGTATTTCTTTGCTATTATTATATGTATAGGAGTTGGAGGTAGGTAGTATGTGTCACACGTTGCTTTGCAAAATTTGAAGTGAATTTTCTTTACTTGCGCTTAACTGTGTGCTGACCTCTGGTTCATTATTTTTGTCTGAAATTTCAACATATAAAGTGACAGTGCAAAATCTTTGGCCAGATTTTGAAAGATTCAAGTATTAAGTTTCTTTCACTCTCATGAAATAAATGTCATTCAATCAGTTCAGAGCCTAAATATTTTCCAGTATGTAGCCATTGGTCCTAGTTGACCTAGAATGAGTAACATTCCTTTGAAGCTAACAAGCTAGTTTATAGGAATACCTTGAAGGTATTTAAAACTTAATTTTTTTCTTTTTGTAAGATAGATGAGTAAAAGTTTCTCTTCTTGGTAGGTGAACTGTACAGCATTGATGATAATTGCGTATTTTAGATTTATGTTATCAGAGTTTTTCACAATAGTCTGGATAACAATTTCCCCAGTGTCATAGAATCACAGAATCGTTAGGGTTGGAAAGGACCTTAAGATCATCTAGTTCCAACCCCCCTGCCGTGGGCAGGGACACCTTACGCTAAATCATATCACCCAAGGCCTCGTCCAGCCTGGCCTTGAACACTGCCAGGGATGGAGCATTCACAGCCTCCCTGGGCAACCTATTCCAGTGCCTCACCACCCTAACAGGAAAGAATTTCCTTCTTATATCCAACCTAAACTTCCCCTGTTTAAGTTTTAACCCATTACCCCTTGTCCTGTCACTACAGTCTCTAATGAAGAGTCCCTCTCCAGCATCCTTACAGGCCCCCTTCAGATACTGGAAGGCTGCCATGAGGTCTCCATGCAGCCTTCTCTTCTCCAGGCTGAAGAGCCCCAACTTCCTCAGCCTGTCTTCATACAGGAGGTGCTCCAGTCCCCTGATCATCCTCGTGGCCCTTCTCTGGACTTGTTCCAACAGTTCCATGTCCTTTTTATGTTGAGGACACCAGAACTGCACACAATACTCCAGGTGAGGTCTCACAAGAGCAGAGTAGAGGGGCAGGATCACCTCCTTCAACCTGCTGGTCATGCTCCTTTTGATGCAGCCCAGGATACAGTTGGCTTTCTGGGCTGTGAGCACACACTGAAGCCGGCTCATGTTCATTTTCTCATTGACCAACACCCCCAAGTCCTTCTCCACAGGGCTGCTCTGAATCTCTTCTCTGCCCAACCTGTAGCTGTGCCTGGGATTGCTCTGACCCAGGTGTAGGACCTTGCACTTGGCATGGTTAAACCTCATGAGGTTGGCATCAGCCCACCTCACAAGTGTGTCAAGGTCCCTCTGGATGGCATTCCTTCCCTCCAGCGTATCAACCGTACCACACAGCTTGGTGTCATCGGCAAACTTGCTGAGGGTGCACTCAATCCCACTGTCCATGTCAGCAACAAAGATGTTAAACATGACCGGTCCCAACACCGTTCCCTGAGGGACACTACTCGTCACTGGTCTCCAGCTGGAAAACATTGAGCCATTGACCACAACTCTTTGCATGCTGCCATCCAGCCAGTTCTTTATCCACCGAGTGGTCCATCCATCAAATTGATGTCGCTCCAATTTAGAGACCAGGATGTCATGTGGGACAGTGTCGAATGCTTTGCACAAGTCCAGGTAGATGACATCAGCTGCTCTACCCCTGTCCATCAGTTCTGTAGCCCCATCATAGAAGGCCACCAAATTGGTCAGGCAGGATTTCCCCTTAGTGAAGCCATGCGGGCTGTCACCAAGCACCTTGTTGTTTTTCATGTGCCTTAGCATGCCTTCCAGGAGAATCTGCTCCAAGATTTTGCCAGGCACAGAGGTGAGACTGAGTGGTGTGTAATTCCCCAGGTCATCCATTTTCCCCTTCTTGAAAATGGGGGTTATATTTCCCTTTTTCCAGTCATCGGGAACTTAACCCGACTGCCATGATTTCTCAAATATGATGGCCAGTGGCTTCACAACTTCATTCGCCAGCTCCTTCAGGACCCGCGGATGGATCTCATCAGGACCCATGGACTTGTGCACTTTCAGGTTTTTAAGATAGTCTTGAACCAGTTCCTCTCCTACAGTGGGCGCAAGCTCTTCATTTTCACAGTCCCTGCGTCTGCCTTCCAAGACTTGGGTGGTTTGGTCAGAGCCTTTGCCAGTGAAGACCGAGGCAAAGAAGTCATTCAGAACCTCAGCCTTCTCCAAATCCTGTGTAGCCCGTTCTCCTGATAGCTTCCTGAGGGGGCCTACATTCTCCCTACTCTGTTTTTTATTTGCTACATACCTGTAGAATCCCTTCCTGTTATCTTTAATACCTCTAGCTAAGTTTAATTCTAACTGAGCCTTAGCTTTCCTAACCTGGTCCTTAGCTTCTCAGACAGCATCCCTGTACTCTTCCCATGCCACCTGTCCTTGCTTCCACTTTTTGTAAGCCTCTTTTTTCAATTGAATTTTCCTCAGCAGCTCCTTATCCATCCAAGGAGGTCTCCTGGCCCTCCTGCTTCACTTCCTTCTGGTTGGGATGCAACACTCCTGAGCTTGCAGCAGTGTCATTAGTTTACTTGTGCCCTTACAGAAGTATTTACCTCATCAGTCTTTAGATGGTGTTAACATTTTTCATGGCTGTCACATTGATGTTTCTACTGATGAGCAGCAGCACCTTGTACTTCACTGAATCTTGCTTTCTTTCCTAACTCATCTCCAAGGTTGTTTATATCAGTTTTCCATTGTATTTGATAGTGCATCTTAATTCCTTCAACAGACTTAATCCTTATGGTTTGACTTTATGTGCCAAGGCCACTGATACAGATACTAAACAAGATTGGTCCTAAGTCTTGTCCTTGAAGAACTCTTACTCATTTACTTCCAACTTGGTATCTCTTTAGCCACTTCTTTTAATTAAAAACTCTGTGCACATTTCACCTCATCTAGGTCAGTAATTTCTGTGCATCCTCCTAGATGAGGCTTTACAGTAGTCCAGGTAGTCATACATTGTTTGTCTCCCTAGGGCAGAATTAACTTGGGAAAATGTGTGTCATTTAACCCTTCTGCCTGTGTCTGTGTATTTCCCCTTGTGAGTTTTGAGCTCAAGAATTTTGTGGTAAATGGCTCTACTGGGGGGGGGGGGGAACGGGACAGGGGACGGGGGACGACTGGTAATTTCTAAACCTGTTGCTGCCATTTTGTTCTTGATAGATGTTGGAAATCCATGCTACAAGAATGCCTTCCTCCCCTTCCCCCCATTTTAAACCTGCCACTCTTCAGAATTCAGGGATAAAGTTCTCAGTCTGGCCTCAGCTATGCAGCACTCATCTTCCTGAATCTGTGTTTTCTGGCTTTACACACTCATTCCTACTGGCTGTCCTGTCTTTGTTCCTCTTCTTTTTTCCATCTTATGTACCAAAACTTACAATAAAATACTAGCTTTGGGAGTCACACTTAAATGACTTTTAATCTCTGCTGTATACTTGCTGTATTTGAACTCTACTTCTTTTTGTTATCTGTGTGGCTATTCTTGATGTTATTTTAAGTCTCCAGTTCAATTACACTTTATGGCAATTCCCTCTTTATATCTCTGCACTGATTAACTTCTGAATAAATCATGCAGCATATCAGCACTTCTCTGGCACTTCTTGGGAGGATGGTATGTTTGTTCAAGCATTCTTCTAGGGTAGTTGCTCATCTCCTTATACCTGGAGTCCTTGAGTATGAATTTTCCTGTTGCTTGAGATACAGCTTTCATGTTTCTAACTGGACCGAGTTCCAGGGCTCTCTTTCCTTTCCATCTTCAGTGTGCTTGCAGCATGTATGTTAAGAGCCCAGCCTCAAATTACGGAAAGGGAGAAATGTTTTGCCCTTTGGGGGGTGATCAGAGCATCAGCCTAACTGAGGAAGTTGAATTGTCCTGCCAAGAGGTGTGTGGCCTTCTCACTGCAGAGTTATGGAGGTGGGGTTAGTTTCACTTCACTAGAGCTGGTGTTTGGAAACACTCCTTCAAGATCTTCTGTCTAGAAGAGTACTATTCAAGTCTGCTCTTTCAAAACAAAAAGTCTTCACTGTAAACCTGCTTTTGTTAATTCTTTTACTTTAAGCCATGTCTTTTCTGTTGTAATTTATCAAAGGTTATTTCTTCTGGCAAGTTTTTCATACTTGCAAAATCAATTTAAGAGATAAAACTACCTTTTGCTGTTACTGAGGTGGTTGGAATCACAGCCAAAAATGTATGGATCCTTCTGTTCATTAAAAGCATGTGTTCAGTTAATAGCCAGGAAGTTGAAGTTTCCTAGTGAGACAGGATTCTTTCAGGATCCAAGTCTGACTCCAGGGAATCTGTTGTCATCTTCTTTCTGTTCTTCTCTTGGAAAAAGTGAAATTTAAGAGTGAGAAAACATTCTGAATGGTAGCAGTTTGGCCAGTTTGCTCAGTGTCTCAAATTCTGATTGCTTTAACTCCCTCATTCAAGTAATGTAGGAGGAATGTTTTAAGTCGTGTTATTGTGAATGGTGAAAGCAAAGTTAATTTTAACTCTACTGACGATCTCACACAGAATATAATAGATGATGCAGTGGTGTAACAGCGTAGGTGGACTTGTGTTCCTCCAGCATTGGCCATACCACACAATACCTGAAACCGTTCCAGATTCACTTTGTGCAAAGAGAGCAGAGTGGAAGGCAATTTGAACTTTTTTAACTATGCTTAGTAAAATGGAGGATTTTCTTTCTCAGGCTTGTCAGAACTATTCTTGGGGGTAGGTTCCCTTTGCCTGTGATTTGGAGACCTTATCAAGACACCTGAATTTGGTGCCTGTTCTGATGATGGGTTCAAGCTCTCACAGCCAGTGTTAACACATTGTACTCTCAGTGTTCACATGAATAGGAATTCTCTAAATTCGTCCTGCCTCTAAGGCCATAATTAGTGCACTGAACAGGCCTGTGAGTCTGCCTTTAAGAAAACTGAGGTGTGTACCTCTCCTGTATCTCCAGGGCTGACTTTGTTTGCCAATGTGAGAGACCTCTCTGATCATCTGGCACCAATGCACAAGTGAGAGAGGTGAGCTGTGTTTTGCAGAAACCCAATAACCTTAAGCTTACATCTTCCAAAGATTGACCATAATCATTACAGTTTAGAACACAGAACTGCAACGTTTTTCTGAGTGGAATGCACTTACCAAGCAAGCAGCCATTTTCTGTGGCATGGGCGGTCCTGGGACACCAACTGACTTTGAAATAACATCTGCTGTTGACAAGGGCAGTGCTTATCCTATGTCCAACATGGATTTATAAGGGATTGCAGGAAATGAGTAACTTTGTTACCTTCATGACAATAGTTCAACAGGCATAAAGGTAGAGATAAAAATCTTTCTTGGTTTCGTACACAGCTGCTAATGTAAAAATACCTATTGCTTAATGTGTTTATTTGTATTTTTGAAGTGATTTCTCAAGGGGTTTTGCAATGGAATTCTGCCTCTGGAAATAGTGATCTTTAATTTCAGTAGCATACCTTAGAAGAAAATACTCCCCAAAGCAAAAGTATTCTTAAATGATTTTTTGGTGATGTATCATCAAATCTTGCATCTAGAAGGGCTCAAAATAAATCTTGAAGCTCAGTTTCAGAAAACACCATATCCGTCACACAATTCTGTGATGCACCCAAGCATTGAACGCTCTGTTCCCCTCTTCTTCTCTCCATCATAATGATCCATCCATGTGTTTTTTTGTGCTTGAGTGTATGAATATGAATTTGCTTTGATGTAAGATACTCTTTATTCCATATGTTACTAACCCCAAGTTAATGAGATGAGAAAGACAGCACAAAGTGATGCAGGGAAACTGGAGATGTGGCATGGGGAGTAGCAGCATATACTGTTTGAGCCAAAAATTGAAGGGGAATCGAAAGCCCTTGCTTTGCACCAGTGAGGTATTATAATCAGCTGAGTTGCAGCATCTTGCTTTTTAGAGAGACACCATCTCCTTGGCTTCTGTAAAGTTTCTTCTGGTATGTTTAGTCTTTAATTTAGAAAGGAAAAATACCAGTTGGCATGTAATTCTAGAAAGATTCACGTTTCCTGTTCTAACTCATCCTGTATCCAACTTGCATTGCACTGAAGCTAGTCTTTTGCCTGTTCATTGCCTCAAATCATCAGGTTATGACTAGTTAACCATGGTACTGAATTTAGGTTTTGATTATTTTGTGAAATTTTTATGTTCTTCTTTCATATTTCTGTGCAGTATTTAATGAAAAGATGAGAACCAGTAAAGGAGTGAACTTGCCCAAATCATTGTACTACAACCAGTGGGGTTCTCTTGATGAATGAGTGATAATTCTTTTCATATCCATCAGGGAGCAAATTGATACAAATATTCAGTGCATTTCCAAAGGTGAACTTACTTCCTGCTAAATCTGTCTGGAATTACTTTGTTCTGAAATCTCTGTTTTTAGAAGCATCTTCACAAACTGCCAATGCTCAGTCAGTACTCTGTAATCTGTTGTGTAATTACACTGTGTAACTATTACCTGTAGGCACACTGCTCTCTATCTGGGCACTTTCTGGTGTTGGAGCTTCCATTGTTGTAAGCGTGATGGTCTCAATGTCAAGCAAAAGACTAAGAGGGATTCTCATCTTAGTATGCTTAAAATACTCGGGAGGTTTTGTTTTCCACTCTGTTGTTTAGTTTGTTGCAGTAGAAATAAATTACAGTTTAGCTGTTAATTTAAAATGTTTTTACTTCAAATATGAGTACATAATTGGCTGAAGAAACTGAGTGGTTTCTTGTATAACGTTCATGTTTTCAATTTGTGTTGCTGGATTTGACCATCTTGTAATAATGCTGCAGTGTTCACATGGAAAATACTGATTATGAACTCTTCCTTTAGGTTGCCATAAAAATAATTGACAAAACACAGTTGAACCCAACTAGTCTACAAAAGGTAGGTTTTTGCATTTAATCTTCCAACTGCACTGTTTTTTTCACTCCCACTTTCTATTAACCCTGAATGCCTGTGCTGGAGAATCTGAAGCATTGCATACGTTGCACACATCTGACTACAGTATTTAATAACTAGTTTTGTAACATATTTTTGACAACCCTGCAGTTATTCAAGGTGAACTCGTACAGAGCTGTGTACATGGTGTTATGTCCTCATGTCTTCTTCATGCGGGTCACTTTCTTAAACTTACAAATAGAAAGTTTACCTTCTGTCCTCTTAAACTTGAAAATACTGCCTGTGTGCTGGAGGCCAGGTAGTATCTATGCCTTTCATGTAGTTTGCAGCAGGAGAGGTGATGCAGTTTTATGGAATGAATTGGGGCATGGCTATTCTGGTTTCTTCCCTCTAGCCTCAAATGTTTAATGTGTGCTGTTACAATTGTATTGCCTTATCTATTTTAGTAAGTAGTGATCAATCCTGCTCTTTGATCAAGGCAACCGGTCTGCTTTGGAGTGCCTACAGGAAGTACATTTAAATGTTCCTTTTACCTAGGACTTTTCTAACTCTGTCCTTTTAAGTGCTGTAGTCAAAAAGCTTTTTATTTACTTTTGAGTACTTCGATAAAAAAAGCTCCTTACAATATTTCTGTTTGAATGAGAGAATGCCCAGAACTACCTGCAAACAAAATAGCATAACTAGAGTAAACTGGAGAATATACACATTCGGATCTTATGCAAATACTAAAGAGATCGTGCAACGAGATGTTTTTATCAAAATGAATACTGCAAAAGTAAATTGGAAAAACACACAAGTTCTTACCTTACATGGTTTGGTTGAGAGGCAAAGAATAGCCTGTAGAAGAAAGGTTCTCTCATCTGAGCAGGTATCAGCTTCCTGCTGATTCTGTAGAATGGGTAAAAGCAGATAATGTGGTTCCAGTTTTCTCTTTTATTTCTTTTTCAGTTTAATCTCTGTAGTTATTGGTGATTTCTGGGTATGCAGAGAGGAAGTGAAATGCAAATTAGGTAATGCCGTGGATTAGGTGGAGTTGATTTGTGTGGCAGATCTGTGCAACTGGGAAGACCTGAAAAAATTACTAAATTCTCGGAGCATTTGGAAGAACAAAAGCTGTGTGATAGGAAGGAGAGGGTTCAGGGCATGGGAAGCATGGTCAGAGAAAAGTAGAGAGGCCATTTTGTTTTCAATCAAAAATGTAAAATCTTAACCCTTCAAATATTGTTGTCTTGACATTGGGCCACAGGGCTAGCTTGAGCTCGTATTAAAGTACAAAGCAAATGCTTTACAAGTCACAGGTTCAGTTAGCAAAGCCACAAGCCTTTGGGCCCTTTGGTTTCTGGGTTTCAGCCTGCTTGGTGTCCTCTTGTGTATCTGTAATTTCATTTTTATTTACAATTTATAAAACTAGATTATAAAGTGTGATTTGTAAATTGGTCTTGTTTTCTTTAATGGAGTCTGGAAGAATAGTACAAAACAGCAGGGTAGAAATCGGATCAAATCTGGGGAGTGAGATTGCTGATGTCCTGCCCTCTCTAAGCTCATTTATTATATGAGCACAGAAGAAAATTTAGCAAGGTATGTCTGTTCTCAATTCAAAAATTGAAACGAATTTTCTTAAATGCCTGTTTGCCGCAGTAAGCAGAGTGAATGCACAACGCTACATAGCAGTTTTCCTTGGTTAAGGCTTTTTTTGCAAACCCTTGCCTCTTTTCCCGCACCACTGTCAGCAGTGCCGTAGACTTGTTGCTTTTGAAGCCAGTTGCGCACACAACCTGTAGATGCAGGGAAGCTAGGATGGAAGTGCTTCTTGTCGTTGTGCTGCTGGAGAGAGCGATAAAATATTTGAGGTATGGTGGAGAGGGAAGGGCTGCTCTGAGACAAGGGTGTGGTGCTTGGTGTCTCAGTTGCAGTGTAGCCTCGTCATCCTTAGGTGGGGAAACAAATGGCAATTAAGGCTGCCAGGTCTGATTTCTTTGTAGTATGTCTTCCACACTGATACTTCAGCTGCCAGAAAGAAGTTAACTTTGTTAAGGACTTGCTTTGCTTTCTGGAGCAGTAATTCTTAGTATGCCCTTGCAGTAAGCTGTGGGTGGCTGCAGTCCTCACAGCTCAATATTCAACAGTGCAGCTCTTCAGAAGAGTTGGGTTTCTTGTCTGCCACTGAGGAAGTCTGGTAGCCACATGCAGCTACTCTTAACTGTTGTTTTAGGACCTAATTACTACTCTGCTGCTCTTGCTTAGTGAAGAGGAAACTGTAACTGGTACTTCCCTGCTTTGAAAGAAAAGGGAATTCTTAGAGCTTTTTTCCCATGCTGGTGGTGTTAGTCATAATGCCTGTTGTCCGCAAACGTACTTGTGTACCCAGTTCTAGTATCGGTCTCACTGGAAACAAGTGCTGATGTAGTAGTTCACTTCCTCCTAGACAAAAAAAAAATGCAGTTTTTTGGGTTTCTTTTTTTTTTTCTTTTGAATTAGCAATGCCATAATGCCATTATATGTAAGGTTTTGGGCTTTTTTACCAAGCCCTTGTACTAGTACTATATCACTTCTCGTTTTCCTTTTTTGATCTTGGCTCCTCAGCCAAATATTTTTTGTTCATTATGTGCAGATGTTTTGCCACTCGTTTGGGCCATTTCTTTGTTAAAGCTTTTCAGAGTTCTTAATCATCACTTTTAACATGGACCCTGCTCTTTCTGACCATGGGTCAATCAGTATTTTAAAAACTGCAAGAAAAGGTTGAGGACATTGACACACTTGAGAGGTGGGTCTCTGAGAGCCTCATGAAGTTCAACAGGCCAAGTGCAAGGTCCTGCACCTGGGTCAGGGCAATCCCAGCACAAATACAGGCTGACCAGAGAGTGGTTTGAGGGCAGCCCTGAGGAGAGGGACTCGGGGATGTTGATTGGTGAAAAGCTGAACATGAGTCAGCAGTGTGTGCTTGCACCCCAGAAAGTCAGGTATGTCCTGGGCTGCATCAAAAGGAGTGCTACCAGCAAGCAGGTCAAGGGAGGGGATTCTTTCCCTTTGCTCTGCTCTCTTAAGACCCCACCTGGAGTACTGCTTTCAGTTCTGCAGCCCCAAACATAAGAATGACATGGACTTGTTGGAGTGAGTCCGGAGGAGGGCCACCAAGATGATCAGAGGGCTGGAGTACCTCTCCTATGAAGACAGGCTGAGACAGATAGGGTTGTTCAGTTTGGAGAGGGCTCCAGGGAGACCATCTACCGGCCTTCCAGTACCTAAAGGGGGTCTACAAGAAAGCTGGAGAGCGACTTTTACAAGGGCATGTGGGGATAGGACAAGGGGGAATGGCTTTAAACTGAAAGAGGGTAGATTTAGATTAGGTATTAGGAAGAAATTCTTTATAATGAGAGTGGTGAGACACTGCCCAGAGACTGTGGCTGCCCCTTACCTGGCAGTGTTCAAGGCCATGTTGGACAGGGCTTTCAGCAGCCTGATCTGGTGCAAGGTGTCTCTGTGTGTGGCAGAGAGGTGGAAATTAGATGACCAACTTTAAGGTCCTTTCTAACCCAACCAATTCTATGATTCTCTGAGTCTAGAATCTATTTGTGTAGCAGACTAAGGATGTTTGCTTAGAATCTTTTGTAGCATCAACAGTGGAGTTACCCTTGATGAGATTCTGACCCAGCGGACTTTATCTGAGTATTGGGGGTGGAAGATACCAACAGTCAGTTGAGAATGAATTAAGCAAACTCATCCAAACTTTAAAAGCTGACCAGAGGCTTTCAGTTATATAAGCTTCCATTAAAAGTATTAGTGGAGTATTCAGAGTATATTATACACAAGTTCAGCAGAAGTGAATGAAAAAATAAGCAAAAAATAGTTACGGATTCAAGTGCTTTTAAATTTCTGCTGATCAAGAGAGTGATGGTGAAGTAGCCTACCTTGTCTAATGATACATGAAAAAGCTCCAGGAATAACATAGATTATTAAAAAATAGGCAGATTACTTGTGCCTCTGGAGAAAAAGAAAACACACATGCATAGGTTTTGAAATTACTTTGCATGGCCAAAAAATAGACTTGATCAATCAATCCTGATTGCATTTGAGCAGCTTGTCATCTAGCAAAGTGTCAGGCACAGACGTGGATAATGATAAGTAAATGTATTTGGCAAGCTGTTTGGTTTTTCTTTGCGTCCAGGTACTGTTTTCTTCACATGGGGGAGGAGGTCTGTTGAGGAGTGCAGTGAGGACCGCTCCGCAAATCTTAGCCTTTGCAGAAACATCAGAAAGCAGAGAATGGTTAGAACAGCTGATCTCTGGTCTGTTTGGGTTTTTTTTTCCTATTTATTTATTTACATCCCACCTCTCATTTTCTTTTATTAAAAGACACAAAGGCACAAAGATTTTGGTTTGACTGTTTGGTTGTTTTCTGTTTGTTTCCTGTGTTTCACTTTGTTTTGCTTTTATTGAGTAAGTGCACCTATAGATTTTTTTGAGTCATTAGTAATAAGCAGACATACTAAATGTCTTTATCTGAAATCTGACCTGAGGCAAATAGTGCAGTAGCATTTTTTGCTTCCTTACTGTTAATAACAGTGCTGCTATCTCTTATTTACAAAACTCTTTTCTCTTAAGTCTGCATTCCTGTGGAGCTGTGGACTTTCATTCTGATTCAGTCTCTTTACATTAAGTTCAGTATGATCTGTTATGTTGCTGGTATTTCTGTAGAAGTTGACGTTAGGTTTATTATAAAACCTCTTGATTATGCCCTCTTTTTGAAGTGGGCTCTTAGAAAATAATCAGCGCTTAAGAACATCAACCCCTCTGGAGTCTTCGGCTGGCAAGGGGGGAGCTGCAGAAGCAGAACAGCTACACTCTTAACTGCCATGTAGCATACTGCCTAAAAAGAGAATTTTGGGGGTTTTCCAAATACAATAACATTTGCACTTCAATAATAGTAGTAGTGATATTTTTTTTTATCTTGGGTCTTTTCTGGAAGAAGTGGAACTACTTTTATTTAATCTGCTATTAACCAACTTGATTAAAAGCAGTGTTTTATATTGCAGTAACACCACCTATGACATTTTTAGTATTACACGCAGATTTACTTGCATCTTCTAATTGTCTGCTGCAAAAGAGTTTACAGAGGGGAAGATAATTAACAGCTGATCAGTAATAGATTTTGTTTTCATTTGTGGTTTGTTAATGATATGTCATTCCTGTATTATCCTCCAGTTGCAGGAGGACAGAGTTTACTGTGTGTGACAGGCAGAGTTGAACTCTTTCGAAGTAACAGCTCAAGCAAACCCTTCGTGTGGGTATTGGTGCTGTGGGGAGAGAGGCTGTGGGGGGAGAGCCAAGATCCTTACAATCAATATGTGGTCTCTGGATGCAGCACTGTTGATGTAATGGCATTAGGGTTGATGTCAAATGGGCAGTTAGACTTACTTACCACCTGTCCTGCCAAAACAGATGTGCTGAGGTGGGCAAGGGACCTGGGCAGGAAACTTGAGAGGTAGAGTGTTTTTATTTGGGAGAGTTGTGTGTTTTGTGAAATTTTTCTATTAATTAATTCATGGACCTTGTGAGTCAGTCTGGGTTGACACCAATGCTTACATAAATGAAAGCAGTACAGTCCTGTAGCATGGGAAGGTAGATGGTGAAGAGGGTGGGAGCAAGCTGATCCCTTTGAGACTCAACCCCTGAAGTAATGATGTTTCTTCTGTCTGCTGGGGTCAGGGAAAACACTGTATTCTGTCTGTTAATTTTGGCAAGTACGTTCAGCATGTTGTACTGGCTAAGCAGGCTCAAAGGCTGGATGTCTGGCAGTGAGTCAGTGGAGCTGCAGTGACAAACTCAAGACTAGATGCTACCGTGTCTCAGTTGCCTCACAGGAACACTTCTGAATGACCAAAGGAGAGCCTCGCCTTTTCAGCTCCTAAAAACTTCCTACTTGTTGGTGTAGTTGGATAGCATACTTTTTGTGCAATATAAGCAGCTGATTTTTCACCTGTGAGGTCCTGTTGTAGCACAGTAGTTCCATGGCTTTAATGAAGTACTGAAAAGAGGTGAATTCATACCAGCAACATGCTGTAGTGGTCTGCAAAAGGTGCTGTGGTGAGGATTCACAAAACTTTGGAAACAGTATTTTCTGTGAAGGGGTGAAAGATGATGTGAGATGTACTGGCCTACTGGCCAGCAAGAAGCTGCGTGGGCTCGTAATGCCCCAAACATCTGTGAACCACAGAGCTAAGATCACTTCTCTCGTGAGCTGTCTGGAGTGCTTCGTGGTTGTTTTCAGTTTTTTGAGGGTTAATTTGTTTGGGGAGGGGTGTTAAAAGAAGCAGGCACTTAACTCTTCCTTCCAGTAAGTGTTTATTTCATGAAATTCACTGATATGCTAATAGTAATATTTGCCCTTTGTTTTTAAGTATTATGAAAATGATCAGGCTTTAGAAAGAATGGGTTTTACCTATTTTATTAACTTATTTCTTGTTTTATGTTTATTTCAGCTCTTCAGAGAAGTAAGAATAATGAAGATCTTAAATCATCCAAATATAGGTATCTTGTTTCTTTCACATAAGGAGAAATTTAGCATTTTCACTGTTAAAATTGTTGTGGTATGATTTTAGAAGATGATTCTGCTCTAGGGTTTAAATTTCATGTAGGGTAGCAGTAATAAATACTTTTTCAGAGCTGTGTATTCAAACAAACAAACCAAACCCAGAACACTTTGGTCCCTTTGCATAAAACTGTTGCTGTATAGCTGATAATTTTGTTCCTTTTGAGTGTAATACTGATTTTGACTGAATTCAGGCTCTCATTAAAAATAAACATATACCAAAACTAAAAAGTGATCAGAAAGTTGTTTTGGATTATACTTTGAAATGATAGAGTGTTGTTACGGGACTGCTAGCAAACTGATTGATAACTCATTTGTCACCATGTGTGCCAGTTCAATGCATAAAAAGGGCTATTTCTGATGCTCAGATTTTTGAAGTTCTGTTTCAGTTACTTTTCCCATGTGTGGGAAACAAAGTATTGTTTCTTGAGAAAATTTGTTCTGCATGAGTTGACAGTATTTTCCATTTAAGAACAGAACAGGCTTCTTTAGGGTAATAGTCTGATGTAGTCAAGCAGTAAGCAAATAGTTTGTTTCTTTGACAGAATTCTCTGTGGGGTTAACATAATACTTCTGCAACTAGTTAACTGATTAATAAATGGCTTTCTTTTCTAGTGAAGCTATTTGAAGTCATTGAAACTGACAAAACTCTCTATTTAATAATGGAATATGCAAGTGGGGGTAAGTAACTGCTGTGGTGACACATATAAATAAACTGTCAAGTGGGAGAAAGCACTTGTTTTCTTTAAAGTTTTGCTTTCTCATTCAGCAAATATTAATGTAATGGTAGTGTAAAATATTAAGCAAAATCTTTAATGTTCTCTGGGACTTCTTTGTGCAATATAATCAGGTAAAACTAACTTCTGAACTTACTGCAGTTTAATAACATTTGCTTTATTTTCACAGCTGAAATTTAATGGGAATCTTTATTCGTCCATCGATTGTTCCCATCCCTAACAAATACCAACCTTCTCAATTTATTGTACTTTGCTCCCTGCCTGTGGTGTCCTATTTTGTATAAGATAATTGGTAAAACCATAAAAACATAAAACATTTTGTGTTCATTTAGCTGTTGCTTTCAAAAGCATGAGTACTGCAACTTCTTTTTTTTTTAGATGTCGATGACATTTGACATGGCTTAATCACAGACCTTCTGCTGTCAAGAGCTGTAGGCTTAGCATTACACCACTGTAGGAAGAACTGAAACACTTATTCCTGATTGGTAGGGGTGGTGAAAGCATTCATTATGCCATGTCAGGCATTTTCGCCAGACCTAGAAGTAAGGTATTTGGGCTTAAATTACTCCTTGCTAGCTAAAACCTAATAGCACTCATTTTATCAGTGTGACCCTTTAGCATGAGTAGCTGGTAATCTCAAAATAGTAGAGGTTTTTCTTTAGTTTTGGGAGGGAGATAGGCTTCTTTTCAGAGAAAATCATCATTCTGACTTGGATGTTAGATTTTGTGAAGTTTAATGAGTTATTATGAATCAGGTAATGATTCTCTACCTGCCTGTGTTTTCTTCTAGCAGCTCCCTAAATGCTCAGCCACGATTTGTCTAAACAAAAACAAAGTTTGTAAAATACTATTAAAATATTGACTGGTACAGGTGCTTGTGGAGACATCTGTATGCTGTTTGGTGGTACTAGACTTAAAAGCGAAGACCTATTGCCATCTAGTGATTAGCTTCTAGGAGGTAGGAAGGCCATCAGATCTCTAAAGCAGTGAGTCTCTTCCTCATAGTAATCGAGAGGTACATCCTCACTGGTCTAAATGGCCATGAACAGTACCCTTTGCATGTGCCATGTTGTGCAAGACAGGAACACCTGTAATCTCAGTGGTAGGCATCAATTTCCCATATTTCCACTGTATCAAGATGCTGGGTACACAGGATGCATGAAAATCCTAGGCTGCATAATGAAAGAAACTACTGCTACAACTGTAGCACTTTGCATAAATTGTGAACAAGTCTTTCTGTGTTGTAATTTTTCCTGAATTCTTCCTTCAGGGTTTTTGAAGAAAAAGCTGTGAAATACAGCTGGGAACATCATCTGAGTTGGGTATTAAATAATACACTACAGAGAGAAGTTAAGCTATTTTATAGAAAATCCTCACATTCCCTCAGATTGCTCAGCTCAACTTTTCCTGCTGTATGATTCTGGGGTTTTTATTCCATTTGGATGGAGTTGCTTGGTTCAAAAAATGGAGTTACTCAGCTCTGCCCTTGTGAGGTGGCTATCTACAAAACATTTTTTTTCTTAGAGAGTTTACATATGTGATTCACTTCTAAAGTTTCCACTAATTTTGCATATTAGCAAAGAATTTTTAAAACTGCCTCTAGTCTGTGTTTGTAGGAGTCCTTATGTTCTTACGTACATGACTTGGTTTTGCTCTCACAAACATGTCAGTGTTTCATGAGTGAGTTCGCTGCTTGTAAAGTTAAAATGTTGTAGTCCACGTTGATGTGCTATAAATTGACTAAATGAAAAAATGCCCAAACACAAGAGATCTTTAGTACTGCTTTAGTAATCTACTTTAGTCATCCACAGCCGTACAACACTGGGCTTGTTCAGGAGTAATACTTTCCAGTGTATCTTACAGATCTGGTGGTTCTGTGATGGGTTATGTCAGTGTGTCCAGCTAGGCTCCTTATTGTGACGTTCCTTACAGGTACCTCTTCCAAGCCTAGGTTAAAGCTAAGGTTTCTGATTTTTATTAGAAACATTTTATGCACGTGCACAAAGAAAAATTCTAGTGCTTGTATGACAGTGTTTACAAATATCATGAGGTATTCTCATATATGAAACTTTTTTTATGGGGCGAAAGAAGATCATTGTGAGAAAGTTTGTGAAGGGACTTGTGTGATCTTTATTCACAAAACAGAAGTATGTTGCTCAATTCCCATCACAAATAATAGGAAGAAATTTTTTTTTTCTATACGCAGTTATTATTGTGTAGAGATGACAGTGTAATAAATTGCATAGCAGTTGTGCCTTGTTCTCTTAAGCTAACCTGTGATCATAAACTTGAAATACGTTTCAGTGAAGCTGCTGTGGGCAACTGCTAGAGAAAATCTCTACGTTTGGAAATTGACATTAATGTATCTTGTTATTGAATTGTAGGGGAAGTGTTTGACTATCTGGTTGCACATGGAAGAATGAAGGAAAAGGAGGCTAGAGCTAAATTTAGACAGGTATGTATTACATTCCTATGCATCAGCTTGCCCTGTAACCTCAAGTTTTTAGTGCTGAAATGAGTAAAACAGCTGTCCTTTGCATTCGACTTCTAGTAACATTCAGCATCTTGTGGACTTGTAGCCCTGAGTAATAAAATACTTCGGTTACAGTAGTACTTCAGAGGGGTTAGTAGTCCCTTCAGTGGCGCTAGTTTCCTTAGTGCTGTGTGCCAGGGTGTCCAGGATTACAAGAACACAGTGACTGCTTAATTTGGAAGTGTATTTCATTCCAAAATGCATTTCCTCTGGGTGATTTCATATATCCTTAGTTCAGTTGGTCTCTTAATGTTCTGGAAGTTGTTCAGATGTAACAGGCTACAAATAGGCCAGTTTCAAAACGCAGGCAATGCATGTAACAGGAATTCATTCACATCCACCTGCTTACATGAAAAGATGCAGTTTAATAGTTGATCTAAATAGTCAACTGAAAAGTAATTTCCCAGCTTGTTAGTTCAGCTTTTTTTATGATGGACAAACTAGCGCTGCAAAGATGTTGAATGTCATTGATCTGTAAAAAGCATTTCATTCTACAGAAAAGCGGTATTGGACATAAGCAGATATTTTTGCATAACTAATTTAAATCCAAATCTCTGCTTTTGTAGCATTTAGAGTTTCAGTTGCGGATCTGACTGGTCTAATAACTTTTTGGTTTCTGCTATTGTGCAGAAATTTGTAAATGCCTACTTTATTTTTATCCCTTTAGTCATGTAGATAACCTAGATAATCTTGTGAAAAGTAATAAGTATCAAAATTATGCTTCAGCTTAATGATGCTCTATGAAGTGAAATAATGAATAGGGACAGGAGTGTTTTATTGAATAGTATGTAGGGGTTTTAAACTGGTGAAATGTGGCAATGACATGACAGTTTCAGTGTTGGGAGGCTCTAACGGCTTCACTTCTTAAGGTTAGCCATGCAAAAGTAGAAAAAAATTGATATAATATATGAGACTTCCAGGAAATTAATCAGTGACTTTCACAAAATGCCTTGTAAAGAAAACTCTTCTCTAGTGTAGGTAGTGTGACCAAGAGGAACAACTTTGGAAACAGGAAACTGTGCCACAACTGTTTTGCTCCCTCTGTGTCATACAGTGAGAATTGTGTGAAAGCAATATAAGGAATAAGGTCAAAAGTAGCCATGAAAGTAAAGAAAAACAGAAGTGTATTAAACCCAGCATAAGGAATGTATTTGTGAGATCCTTGTTCCTTTGTTTTCTCTCATCTCTTTAAATCTTGTATTTATTCTCTTTAATCTTTTGGAAGAAAAAGAAAAAGTCACAACAAATAAACAGGACAGCCCCAAAGCAGCTGCAGACTTCATATCCCCAGAAGTGATTTGTCATTGTTGGGGTTATACAGCTTGGTAGTAAGGAAAATTTTTCTTCCTCTTTAACATCTTGCATATCTTCTTAAAGCTGCTTCCCTCCCTTTCATATTCTGGCAGGTAGAGAGCTTGCTTTTGTGATTGAGGGTTTCTGGTGTGTGTTTCTGTGTTGTGTTGGAGTAGATGTGATGGGTTGTGGAGCAGTTGTTCCCACTTCAGCCATCTCTTCTAAATCCCAGACTGTTGACTTGCTCTTTGTAATGTCACTTGAAGAGCTTCAGAGTAACTTGAAAGGATTTGCTGTTCTCTTTCAGATGTGAAAACATCTACTGGTATGGTTCTCTGCTCTTGATCCTCCATTTCGTTTGTCAGGAGCTGTGTGGGAAAAGATCTTGCAGTAATTCCATTGAAAACTGCATATTTGTTCAGCAATTACCCCCCTCCCCTTCCCCCTTTTTTTTTCCTAACAATTCAACTGTCCTTTAAGTGAGAACTTGTGGAAACAGGTCAAACATGTTTTACAGGTACACTCAGTGCTTAATTTTATGGGATAATGTGGGTAGTACAAGATATATGTAGCTTCATTTTTCAAAAACAGATGTGAAGGGAAAGAATTTGAAAGGTAATTACCTGCTGAGCTGGGTATTTGGCTTACCAAAGGCTGATTTTTATGCACTTCAGATTGTCAGCTTGTTGATTTTTTTGTTTGTTTGTTTGTTTCATTGTTTTTTTTACATTGGTAGAGTAATTGCTGTTTATAAAGATAAAGAGATGGCCTCACTTGAATTCACTGAAATACAAAGAAGCACGTTTTCAGTTTCTTCTTACAAGTTTTATCTGCTAGTGCAGGCAGCTGTGCTCTTTCCTTCCTTAACAGCTGATTTCAGGCTGTGGAGCTCAACCAATTTTGGAGGACCTTTATCTCAAGGATGGGAAGTTCTTGAGAGCTGCAAAAGCATGAGCAGCTGGACAAAAAAGAGAGAACCTTAGAAATAACCCAAGGAGAGAACCTGTAGCACGAACTCATTGTGCTTTGCTGGAAAGAAGAACATGCATGCAGGACAGGAGTTGGGCAACTTTGATCAGAGCTTGGCATTTATTAGAGGTTAGGACTCTGGCTGTGGGACAGTGTCAAAGGAAACTAGATCTTGCTGGGTTTACAGGTCATAAAGCTATTCATTTTACCTTGCTGTAGTCCCAGAATAGCTTCATATAGCTTGTAGCCGTTGCTGGAGGGAGAATGTTCTCTGTAGACTTTTTAACTGATTCAGTGCAGCTGTTTCTGTGTTAGAGACTTAGAACATAATAGGGAATTAATTTTTTTTTTTTTGTGGATTTGCTAAGTGGTTTAACAGAGAGTGGCTCTCTAAACTGAAGCAGCAGTTGTGCTGTGGTATTGAACTGAGTTCTTACAGTAGGTTGTATTGTATCTTGCTTTCAGGTCATATTTCTTCTTTTAGTAGATGGGATTTCTGGATCAAACACTTGTGTTTTATCTGAGAAGGCACTTCCTTTCTAGCAGGCAAAGAGCAGAATTTGGTAATTCTCCCTTTTGCTTGTTAAAAAAAAAGAATAAATGTTTTTTAGTTCAGTTTGTTATGCATAGTTCAGGTTTTTAGCAGGAAAAAAAAATACCGTGCTTGACAAGGAACACAGGAGAGAGTACGGACACTAAAAATACAGCCATGCTCTCTGCAGTTCTCCATTTCAAACTCCTTTTGTGCAGCCATGTGTGAGAAATTCAAATCCAGAATGTCTTGCATTCTTAACGTCACCTCATTTTTCTTCCGCTATTACAGACTTACAAGCAGTTCTGGTTCAGTCTTTTTTCCACAGAAAAATCTGATTCAGGGGGAACCCTCTGAATGAAAAATTCATGTGTATTTATTCCCTCACTTTACTGCAGCTAGTTCTGGCCTCCTTTCCTCTTCCCACAGTTTTGATGCAGATGCAGTGTAGAATTTTTAACGCAAGTAGATGTTAGGACAGGTCTTGGAAAATAAAAATGGTCCACAATGTGGAAGGGACCTTGAGAGGTCATTTATCTATCCTTTTGTCATTTAATCCTTATGAAGGATGGTTTATCTGCCTAGAGAAAACTTGATCTAACTTGTTCTTTAAAATCTGTGATTATAAAGAATCCCTCCCCCAAAATGAATTTCAATGCTTCAGTTGTTGCTTCTAGCAAAAAAAGTCTGCTTTTCTTCCCTCCTTCTTCCCACCTGCCAAGCATCAGCAAATTTCTCACACTGAAGTAGGCTGGGGGTGAAGGAGCTATCAGTGGAAACAGTGATGGAAGGTGGAAGACAAGGGAGTCAATCCAGTGCAGCTTTGTGCTATTTTTCATTCAGTTACGAGAGCTGTTCTTCAATTATTCATGTCATATGCATCACATTATTTCCCTTCCATTTAGGTTGGACTCGCGTCTGCAGTCTCTGTGCTATTCTGTTGCAATGCAGAGTAGTTCAGAAGCATCTGTAAAGGAAACTAGTGATTGATCATCTGCTAGACCTTCTGCTCTTAGCTGGAGTAAAAGCAGTTTAGGAGCAAGTGGTATGGTGCCATGTCTCTGCAGTCCTGAATAAAGCTTGGGGTGTTTGTCATGCTGTCAGCCTTGGAAGCCCCTGCAGAGTGAGCTCGTGACTGGCGCTGAAGTAATGGTAGCAGAGAAGAAAGGAAGGAAAACCAAAAGGATGGTACAAGTGGTGGCGTGAGAGCACTTCGGCAGTTTCAGTAACTGTAAAAAGCTGAACTTGGAGTCTGTAAGAGGGAACCAATATATGAAGGAACAAGCAGAAACAGATTGAAAGGGTAGGGAATGGAAATATTTCACCTTTCCATAAATTTCTTGGTTTCTGAGGTGAAATTTTTTTTCACGTGTGTGATTCAGTAATACTGGGGCACAAAGACACTAACATTGGTGTTTTAAGCGTCATGCAGAATTGACTGGTAGGTCAGGCAGGTCTCTGACCTACCAAGAACCTTACTTACCTTACTTTAACCTACTCTAAATACAGGGAGAAAGAAGTATTCTTCTTACTAGTACAAGATATCCTTCTGCTAAGCTGGGCAGCCTGACGATGAGTTATTTTTGTAACAGTAATGATACCTCATCTTTCTGTCTTGGACACCTTAAGAATGGAAATACATCATGTAAGCATAGTTATTACAGTAAATTACTTTTATGTGCACTTTATGTGCAGTTCCACTTTTAAGAAGTTGTAACATCTGCCTCAATTCTGACCACGTGCATGTGACAGTAAAATGTATTTGAGCGCATTTGTGATCGTGTAACAATAACCTTTTCCATACATGTAGAGCTGCAGCAATGCTTCTGACTCTAAAGGAATGTACTAGGACACTGTACTGTGTAAATAGCTTATACAGCTTTCTATATAAAGCAGGAAAAACTCAATGATACTTGGAAATTATGATGGAAGAAATTATTCTGTTACATGTGAGACATAGCGTTTTTTCCATTGATCTTGCTCTTGTACAAAATACAATAAACCATACACCCTTTGACAGCACACCTGAGATGCACAGTTGCTTTTCACTGAAAAAGTTTTGACAAACAAGCTGTTTCCCGGTAGTTTCTCTAATAGCTAAGCCCATTTCTTACTCTGTTCTTTCCATGCTGCGGCATGAAAAATCACCTTTGGAGAAGGCCTGGAAAACTTCAGTCCACAGGGAAAGCTTTTATGGCTGTGAATAGTATTGGAATGGAAATACTTAAGTAACCTTTCTGAAAGTCATTGCTTCTACTGGTCTATAATTAGCCACACAGGAAAAACAAAATTCTCTTTCAAGTGTAGTAGAAGTGAAATAGATCAAATAACAAACACCTAAGTTACTTCACAGCTTTTCCCCATATATGTTGGTCACTGTAATAGTTGGTTAGGTAGCTCTAAGTTCATAACTTTAGTAAAAATTTTGAACTTTGTGATTGAAACTCTGGTTTCTTTGAAATGTCACTTATATAATTGGACTTGTTTTCTATCCAGATAGTATCTGCAGTGCAGTATTGCCATCAAAAGCATATTGTTCATAGAGACCTCAAGGTGAGTAGGAAAAAGTGTGTGAAATGTGTACCAGCTTCTGTACCTGTGGGTCTGATCTTTATTGTGCCACTAAAATGTAGTATAAATTCAGTTTTCCGAGTTATTTTTTTGCATGTGTTTTGCAAGTTTTGTTGCAAGTTTTGTTTGCAGTATTGTTGCAAGTTTTTGTTTGCAGTATTGTTGGAAGTTTTGAGAATGTCTACGCTATAGAACCATTTCAAGTAAAAAGGATTTGTAAGGCTTTTATTTATTATTAATTTAAAGGCTGCTAAAACATTGTATCTCACCCTTGGTCATATTCAAATCTGATGCAGGTCAGTGTTAGCTGAGAGATCTAAAAAGAAATAAGGGTAGTTTGATAGAGGTATGAAGGTATGAAAAGTTCTGGTCTTGGACCAGTCATGATGATGAAACTGAGCTGCTTTGTAGCTCAGCTTGAAATGATGTGTCCCTTCTTTAGACTGTGCCTTTTATATTAATAGTGTTGCCACATAACTTGCTTAACATATAATAGCTTAATGATGTCAAACTACCCACCACCAAAAAAAAACCCCTCTTGAAAAAAGTTTAAAGGTTATGTGTATTACCAAACTTTTGCAATAATGCCACATAAAGTAAGGATAGCGGTACTGTATCTTGTTTTCATTGTAATGGATGAAAATGTAAGTTACAGTAGCGCAGGATGCATTTCCGTGGAGAAAACAGATAGGTGGTAATAACACAGTTTTCAGGTAGCATAACGGCTCCCATAGTCTGAAGCCATTGTAGAGAGGTTTTTAAAATAGGGGATCCGTGACTGGTAGACTAAAGCATGCCGAAAGACTTTCCAAGTAAGTTAATGTTTATAGGTATTCCAGCTTTTTGCCTTTTAAGAATGAGTAAAAACAGACAGTAGCATTCTAAATCAAAGTATTTTATCTTTCAAACCATTCTTTCTCTTCCAGGCTGAAAATCTATTGCTAGATGCAGATATGAACATTAAAATAGCAGACTTTGGGTTTAGCAATGAGTTTACAGTCGGAAATAAACTGGACACCTTTTGTGGCAGCCCACCATATGCTGCTCCAGAGCTCTTTCAAGGGAAGAAATACGATGGACCTGAAGTAGATGTTTGGAGTTTAGGTGTTATTCTTTATACTCTTGTGAGTGGATCTCTTCCTTTCGATGGACAGAACTTAAAGGTGTGTTTTTGTAGAATACATACGGTATGTTTATCTGTTTTAAGTGATTTGCTGCCTATAGCTTACAGTCTGCTCTTCTGTTACCAAGGAACTTCGAGAAAGAGTGCTCAGGGGAAAGTACAGGATTCCTTTCTACATGTCCACAGACTGTGAAAACCTCCTCAAACGTTTCCTGGTGCTAAACCCAACAAAAAGAGGCACTCTAGAGGTAATGGCACAAAGAAGGTGCATCAGAAAGCTAGACATTGTATTTTGCAAACTGTATTCTTGAGCTGTAACCTATTATTGTCATACCATTCCTGAATAGTTTATTTGGGTTAGGTTTGGGGCAGGGAGGTTGTTGAGTAGAGCATATGACTGTTTTGGTGGGGGTTTTTTTAAGATTTTATTTACTATGGTTACAAAACACTTGACTCCACAGTTGCTTTCAAAATAAATGTGAGACTACACTGCGTATGTCATACAGCTTTTTCTGAGGGATTACCTTGTTGATTCCTGCGTAAATAGATGATCATTTCCATATTTTCAAATGTTAACTGCAATTACTGGCTGCTAGGTTATGGTGTGTTTGCCTTTCACCCACATTTTGTACCATTATGGAGGAGAAAGGCCAAAACAATACTGACTTTCATGGATGTCCACAGTTGAGCCTGGACCTACTGGTCTTGAGAGTTGGCACACTGCTCCTGGTGTGTGTTACGGGCTTTTAGCTCTCAGCTATGTGCTAGAATGCAGCTGGTTGGGAAGAACCTCAGCTTGATGTACATAGTTGATTCTCCTCACTGGAGCAAAACAAAAGTAAGTGCTGGGGCCTGTTCTGGAAAAGAAAAATGAGAAAAGTCCTTAGTGTTCGGTAGGTGAGGGAGCTGTTATTTCAACAGCTCATTTTCTTTGCTGGTAAGTACACTATACCAACAAACCTTGTTTTTTTTTTTTTATAGCAAATCATGAAGGACAGGTGGATCAATGCAGGGCATGAGGAGGATGAACTTAAACCTTTTTTTGAACCAGAATTAGACATCTCGGACCAGAAAAGAATAGGTAATGAAGTCTTTTTCAGAACATAATACAGTTTACGTGATGGGTGGTTGGGTTTGGTTTGTGGTTGTTTTTTTTTAACTTGCCATTTGGGAAAAAGTTACTAATCTTTTAATATTGATATTTTGTCAGGCTTATGTTCTCACACTTAATTGACTTGTTTAATTCTTGAAATGTTCCATTTTTTCTCTTCAACTTCAACACTCAGCCAGCCTAAACATCAGAGTGTTTCCCTTACTTACAGAATATGTATTTGGTTTTTAGATATTATGGTAGGAATGGGATATTCTCAAGAAGAAATTCAAGAATCACTTAGTAAAATGAAGTATGATGAAATCACAGCTACATACTTACTGTTAGGAAGGAAATCATTGGAGGTAAGTACCATTCTTACAATGAAACAAAGGAATCGGAAAGGGTCCTTAGTGAAGTTAAAAGCAAAAATTAATTCAGTAACTATAGGCAGTTGCATTCCTGCTCAGAAGTCCATTACACTTAAAACCATGTTATTCTCCTCATAAATGTCAACTGTCCAAATGACACTGTGTGTTTGTTCTCACGCTGATATGAGTCAGTAAACTCTTGCCTTTACGCTCCCCAAAACTACTCTGCTCGATCAGCAGTTACTCCTCTTTGTATGCCAGTTACTGTTCTGTTTAGTCTAGGATCTCAAGTGTGAGTGTGCCAGCTGTAAATATTTTAAGAGAACCAAGGACAAAACCTGTCAACCTAAAAAAGTTCTTGCATTGTAGATTACCTTTTCGTATGACGCTGAGAGGGTTTGACATCAGTAAGCTGCTCTTGATTCCTCTGCTGCAGGAGTTGATGTGGTGGCTTCTACAAAATGCATCCTCTCTGAGGAGAGGTTACTGTAGTAGAGATACAGATACTGAAAGCAGAGATGGATTTTCTCTATTGGATTGTCCTTTGAGGAGCTGCAAATTCTGCTGAATTTTACCTAAGAAAGTTGCACAAGAATCTAAGAGAAGTTGGGGCCTCTAAGCAACTTCCTTGCTGTCACAACATTTGCCGTGTAGTAGAGCCATCTTTCGCTTCCCTGTTAATGCTCCCATAATGTGGTAGATGTTTAATTTGTTTTGTCTGAACTCCTTGTTTTAATATTCTCATTTGTATTGTAGTTGGATGCAAGTGATTCAAGCTCCAGCAGCAATCTTTCACTTGCCAAAGTTAGGCCAAGTAATGATCTTAATAATAGCACTGGACAATCTCCTCATCACAAAATTCAGAGAAGCATATCTTCTAGCCAGAAACAGCGGCGGTACAGTGATCATGGTGAGCAATTCTCATTTTCAGTGTTGCAGAATATAGTGAGTTCGAGTTCTGTTGAGTGTCTGAATTTGTCTCCATCCCCCAAAGGTAAGGAAGGTGACAACAACTGTGTAGCTCACAGCATGGTGGCTAAATAATTTACTGAATAACTAATACTTTTTAAAAATTGGTTTTGTTATAAAATTTTCAGACATCTTCTAGAGGAATGCTGAGTACACCAGTTTAATTCTCACATTCTGCTTTGTGTTGTCCCTTGCATTCCTGACCATGCTGGGAAAGTCTTGTTACACAAATTGAAGAGAATGATGCAACTCCCTTTTTCATGAAAAACACAGCACTCCTCCCCCATGCTCTTGTATGTCTGTTCAGCTTTTGTTTTCTTTTGACACTAGTAGGTCAGCTTGTGTCTAAAACTTGAAGAAATGTCAGTTTACCGATATTTCTTGTTTCCTGTTTCCTGAGGGTAGAGTCACTTGATTGTCCTGCAGGAATTAAATTTCTAAAGAACAGTGATACAGACAAACTTGGAAGTCTTCTGCTTAATGAGTGTGTAAGACAGTAGTTTAGGATTATCTAAATATCTAAACATCTTCCTGCTCAGACACTTAACTCATAAAAGGAGTCTCTGTTCAGTACTACCTTTTAATACCTCAAGTGCATTGAGAGGTTGGTTTTCTTAAGGATTCTTTTGGGATGATGGTTACCATGTTTTGTGATACTTTTTAATATATATATGTTTTATATATATATATGTATTTTTTGTGTATATACACGTACACTTTTTGATTGTTATTAAAACACAAGCTACAAAGTTGATATATCTAGCTATGTCTTCTGTGTCTTCTGAGGAGGTATGATTGAGGCAGCAGAAAACACAGTCCTGACATCCCTACAGGCTTCTCCAGTGTCCAGGAACCTAGTAAGGCAAGAGGGAGCTTGCGACTGTTGAAGGGGCTGCCCCGTTCTCAGGTGTGCTGGAGAGGTTTCCTGTTCCTGGCACAGCTGGGGAGGCTGGTGGCAAACCGCCCCTGCTTCTGGGCTTTTCCAGGAGCACAGGCCACCAGCCATTAGAGCTGATGGTGGCCCAGGGCTGTGTCACCAGGTGCCTGTCTCAGGAGCCCAGTTTTACTGGAAGTTAGTTTGAACAGCATGTGTCAGATTTGCGCTAATTAAGAGTTGTCTGGTTTGAATGAGTCAGTTACTTATTAAGTGTCTTTAAGATGATGGGTTTTTCCTAGCAAGTCAAACCAGTGTCGGTACTCAAACATCAGAAGCCTCCATGACATGTGTGGTTCTCTCATGGAAATCAAGTAGTATCTTAACCTAGAAAGGCTTTTGTTTTTCACAGTATTTTACTGTTGTCCAAAATACATTTAATTTTGGTTAACTTAAATAATTACTTTTTTTTCAACTCTGATTCCCAGTCTCTGCATGATTCTTATGTGTGAATACATTTCCACTGTAATGAAAAATAGTTACTGAACTTCTGACAAGAAAAATGATTTTCCTGTTTCTTTTACTTGTTTTTTAAGCTGGACCATCCATCCCCTCAGTAGTGGCGTATCCCAAAAGAAGCCAGACTAGTACTACAGACAGTGACCTCAAAAAGGAAGGAATTCAGTCAAGAAAATCCAGCAGTACTGCAGTTGCAGGAAGAGGAATTGCACCAGCTAGTCCAATGCTTGGAAATGCCAGCAATCCCAATAAGGCTGATATTCCTGAACGTAAGAAAGGTTCAGCTGTTCCTAGTGTAAGTAAAAACACTTACTTATTATGAAGATGAAATATTTCTGAGGGGTAAAAGAAGTGTTAAACCTGTGATTTATCAGTGGTGCTGATTGTACTTCTCATTCATCCAGAGTAAATGTAGATATCTCATATAGTTGCCTTTTTAATTCCTGAATCAGTCAGCTAGCTACTCAAGTTACCCTGTAATAATTATGAAGGAGTTAGTAGGTATTAATAGTTAGCACTAGTAGCTGTTAGTGAACAGACATAATTTGGGTATTTTAAAAAATAAATAAATTAAAAAAAAACAGGAAGAAAGACCCTGAACTCAAAGGCTGTCCACTGAAATTTTGCATAACTTATTTCTGATATTACCAGCTACTCTTCTGTTGCCTCTGTACAGAACAACAAAATCTCTGTTTTTATTATCCTGTTTTACAGTTTCATGTGTATAAGGAGCCACCTAATCTTTGCTCTCAAACAGGCTGTTCGAAGTCGTAGTTACGTATATTAAGATTATCAAAGAAACGTTGCTCTAAAAACATTTGTAATTCAACCTGTATTTAAAATTAGTGTGCCTGGCTCTTTTTTTCTTTCTGGGCTTCTCTCACCTGCCCTAAATCTCAACAGCACCAACAAAAAAACTTCACTACAGTGCATAACTAGTGAATTTACAGGTTCGAGCAATAGGCAGTGTGTCAAAAGACAGAAAATTCTTTGTTCCTTTTGGCTTTTAACGTATATGCTCTGTGGTGCCTCCCTCTGAGGCAGAGTTGGAAATCTGTTTTCACATAATAACTCTTGAGTCTTGTAATATTTATTTTCTGAATCTTGGGGGTTTGTATTGAAAAACTTCCTTTTTTACAGGAGAAATAACTTCCCAGTCCCTTATTCAACTTGCAGTGGAGTGGTTTAAGGTTTTTTTTTGTGGTTTTTTTTGTTTTGTTTTTAAACTGATCCCACAAAACTGTCATGTTTGGTCATATACTCAGCACCCTTACTTAGAACAAATGAGAACAGAACTTTCTGAGCTCACAGCTTTTTGACAGCCTAAAGCAAAAGAAGTGCAACAGGATTTGTTTTACTTCTTTAGCTCTGTATTGTCACTTGGCTCAGTGGCTGATAGTGACTTGGTTGGAGGATCTCAGTCAGAGAGATTCCTTGGAAAGACACGTCTTCTACTGTAGCAGCTGTTATTCATAAATGTGAACAAGAGAACACAATTTTGGGGTACCTGCTCTTTGCCTTGTTTTCTTATCAGCCCAGAAACCATTTGGATTTTGTTTCATCTTACGTGACAGACCTTAACTACTGAGTCTCAAAATGGTAGGATACTCAAAATAGTTTTGTCCTGCATTGAACTTTACTCCATACTGTGTAGTACTTCATACAAGAGCTTTGCATCACTGTTCCAACATACTTTAGTATCTTTAGTATTTTGATCTGCTATTCTACACCACTCCCAAATTATGGGGTTTTATTCCAGTAGTCTTATTTCAAATTTCATGCTACTTTAGCTGAAATAAGATTTGAGGTCGTAACCATAGGTTACTTCTTTGTTCAGTGTGCAGTTGATCCAACTGATCTTTTACAAGCAGTGGTACAGGGTGGTGAACATGGAATTGGATTTGTGATGTTACTCAATAGTTAGTGTTTAAAACTGTCTCTGTTCTTAGCTCTTTAGTCAGACAGTGCAAACTCTAGCACCCAGTTCCCTCAGTAAAGATGAGTCTTTTGCTTTCTGGCATTCTGGGGATGTGGGGGTGGAGGAAAGGACTGACTTCTTACACAGTTCCTGGAACTAATTAGGGACTTTTACAGTTTTGTCATGCATCTAGAAGGGAAAAAAAAAAGAGAGATGTTGGAGTTACCATATTGTCCTGAAGTTGAAAAAACTTTTGAGGTAGAGGGATTTTGTTCTCACTGAGCACTTAAGTCTTAAAATCAGTGATACGATGAGAAAGTCGCTGAAGAGACAGAAAAATACTGTTTAAAAAGGCAAAGGAAAAGTAGTAGAACTGGTCTTTACTGCACGCCCTTAGACAGGTGTGTGCTGTTCTTACTAAATAACAAAACTTGCAAGCATGCACTTAAGGATAAGAGTTGTGCTTGTAGAGCGGAGAGCTAAGTCTGGGTTGGAGTAAGGGGCTCCAAGCTGTACTTGTAAAGTTGACATTGTGTTTGAGCTCTTGCAAACTAAATAGTTCTTCAGGCTGAACAAGAGTACATCAAGAACCTGAAGTTCATTGGGCAAATACCAAATTAATAACAAAAACCTGCTACAGGGGTTGCATAGTTAGCAGCAACTAGTAATTCCCTGCTTTAACAACTCCTTGTTTATTACTCACAGCTTTGGATTTTTCCTCAGTGCTTGTAATAAGGCTGCCCTGGAGCCCTTAGCATAGCTTTAGGATGACTGGAAGAGGAGAATAGATAGTATGTTTGGAAAATAATTTAGGACCAAAAATGTACTAGTGCCCTCAAGTACATTGTACATTAAGCTGATTGTTTGAAAGTTTTTTACATCAATCCTTGCCCTGATGTGTATTAATGGGAAAATATCCTGCCTAAGCAGTGGGCACAAGATTCTCTAAGAAAAAAAGACAGACTGTACCACAAATTGATCCTTTGTGCTGTGATTGGACCTCGTGTCTGTGTTCAGAAGTCTCAACATGTGCTTTTGCAGTGTCAGCACCTCCTGCAAAAAAGTCAGGTGATGCCACAAGGATGAACTTGCACAGCTAGCCAGTCAGGGAGTGTGGTGTGACACCGGTTTCAGGCTTTGTGTGCTGTGCACCTGTACATTTTAGTCATGTGAGGTGGGCATATGCCAGCCTTATGAAGTTTAACCATGCCAAGTGCAAGGTCCTACACCGGGGTCAGAGCAATCCCAGGCACAGCTACAGGCTGGGCAGAGAAGAGATTCAGAGCAGCCCTGTGGAGAAGGACTTGGGGGTGTTGGTCAATGAGAAAATGAACATGAGCCGGCTTCAGTGTGCGCTCACAGCCCAGAAAGCCAACCGTATCCTGGGCTGCATTAAAAGGAGCATGAGCAGCAGGTCGAAGGAGGTGATCCTGCCCCTCTACTCTGCTCTTGTGAGACCTCACCTGGAGTATTGTGTGCAGTTCTGGTGTCCTCAACATAAAAAGGACATGGAACTGTTGGAACAAGTCCAGAGGAGGGCCACAAGGATGATCAGGGGACTGGAGCACCTCTGGTATGAAGATAGGCTGAGAAGTTGGGGCTGTTCAGCCTGGAGAAGAGAAGGCTGCGTGGAGACCTCAGAGCAGCCTTCCAGTATCTGAAGGGGGCCTACAGGGATGCTGGAGAGGGACTCTTCATTAGGGACTGCAGTGACAGAGCAAGGGGTAACGGGTTAAAACTTAAACAGGGGAAGTTTAGATTGGATATAATGAGGAAATTCTTTACTGTAAGGGTGGTGAGGGACTGGAATGGGTTGCCCAGGGAAGTTGTTAATGCTCCATCCCTGGCAGTGTTCAAGTCCAGGTTGGACAGAGCCTTGGGTGACATGGTTTCATGTGAGGTGTCCCTGCCCATGGCAGGGGGGTTGGAACTAGATGATCTTAAGGTCTTTTCCAACCCTAACTGTTCTATGATTCTATGTCCAGAGATTAGTAGTCTGTAGACTTGCTGAAGAAAGTCATAGCTGAAGAACTCCCTTGATGAATCATGAAAGGTTATACACTAAAAAGTGTAAAAGCACCTAAAACCATAACTGCATTCTTGCTAAAACTAACATTTGAAAGCTTGAAATGCTCAGTCTTCTCTCATGACCTCTGAAATATGAGCCAAACGGAAAAAAAGCGTATCCTGATTCATGTGTCTGTGTGCTCCAGAAAGTGCTGTGAAAGTGCATCTTTAGAGTCCTCTGCTTTCAGGTATGAATACCAAAACCTGTCCACTCCCAAATCTGTCTTTAAAGTTTGATCCAGGACAGATTGCTGTCTTGTCTTTCTAGATGTGCAACATGACAGTACATTTTAATGTTATGTGGTATCTTCTCAAGGGAAACAGGTGTTTAATGTTCCAAGGCAGCAGGTGGAAAGAAGAAAGCCACCCATGATTGTGCGTATTTCCCACCAGAAAAGCACTGTGGGATGTTCTGGGTGCTTCATTCTCTGATGTATTCAGGAACACAGAACAAAATGATATGCAAATATTAATATGCAATACGTCAATGTACCATTGGTTTGCCTGGGCTCCAATAAGCATCTTGCACATCTTGACCTCTCAAGAACATACAAATAAAACTTCACCTAAGGTGCACAGCTTTAGTTGCTGGCAAATTTAGTAAAGAGAGGGGACCTTGTATAATGAGAAATGTTAGAGGAGAGTAGACGAATCAGTGGTTTGTTTGATTTTAAGGGAACGGATGTGTAAGGAATGAAGTACAGTGAAAGGACCAGGAGGAAATTTTGGTAATGCTTGGCACATGCCTATCCTTAAGGATTATCTAGTGAAGAATATTTGACAAGCCTTGAGACAACTTATATACATCTTATGATTTAATTAATAGTTCTGCTAATCTAAAATACTCTTAATACATCTTAACACCAGGAGATTGTGCAGTTCACTTTTTCATTTTTATTCATGGCAAGATGTGTAACAGGTCAGCAGTCTTCTAAATAAACAAGATGGCTTCATTGTTCAGTCTGCAGCTCATTGCATTGCTTGAGACTCCCTGCATAGGAAATACTTTGCCTTAAGGTACTAGAGGAGCTTTTGCTGGTTATTGAGAATACTCCACTTTTAACAGTTTTTTTCAGGTTTGGAAACAGAAAAGGTTTGGCTACTCTCCTTTTGTGCTTGAACTAGTTTTTCCTTTCTTTTTTTTTTTTTTTTTATCCTCCTTCATGTCATTCTCTACTGTGACCATTTATATGAAACCTTTTCTTATTGCTATTTTAAAAACCCACTGAATTTCCATTGTCTGTCATAGCAGTAATTCTTCAAAGAACTCCAAAAGGTTAGTTGAGCATGAAGTCCCTTGCCTGATTCTTAGTGGCCATCCTTACTCAACATGCTTATCCAGGTGCTGACCAGTCATTCCCTTAAGCTAGCCTCTTCCAAGACTTCCCCCAGCAGTGATGTTTCAAGTTAATAGCCTATTTTGCTTCCTGCTTTGCCCTGTGATTCTTTTCTTCAAAGAAAATTTTAAAAGTTTTTTTTCCACTTTCCAATCAGTTTATAGTTTCCTGTGTTACTATGTTCTTGGGGTGGGGAGAAAAAATATAAGGCTTGCCAGCTTTTACTTCCTCTACAACCTGGGGGTGAATGTTTGTTTGGACCACCATGCGTTCTCCTACAGTAATTGCATCTAACGTTTTATAACTTTGTTATCTGTGAATTACCTAGCTTCTCAGTCGTTCCTGGAAAGTTGACCACCAACTTGGGCATATCTCCACCCTCTTTCTCTGTAAAGACAGAGGCAAAGTAATTCTGTTTCTTTTCTCCCCTCTAAAGTAAGGTCTGTAGTTTAAGTTCCCCTGGTTCTCTTATCCTCAATGTATTATGCCTGTATTTAAATGTATATTTTTTTTAAGTCTTATTAAAATTCTCTGCAATTTGTCTCTTCAATTTGACTTATTCTTCCCTGTTTTAAAAACTTGTGTAGTGTTTCATAGTATTTTAATAAGTCCATGTTTGCCTTCCCACTGAATTTTACCACATTTGTTTCTTAAGTCTTTGTTTTTCCGATGTTGTTTAAGAGTATGATTTTAACTTAAAGGAAAATTCCACAATTTACAAGTGGTAAAGTATTTCAAAAATAGGTTACAAAGACATAGGCTATCCAGATGTAGATGAGCGCTATACATGCTGAGAACTTGTAATTCGGAATTAATGGTAATTCTGGTAATTAAAAACTTCAAGCTGTGTTAATTTTGAGCTGTCAACATGAAGTACAAGAACTTGTTAGAATTATTTTTTTGATTGCATTATTTCTTAAAAATACTGGAAAGTGTTTGTATATTAATTACTGTAGGTTTTATAACTCTGTAGAACTAGCATGAAGTAAACCAGCCTTCAACTACATGTAGACTTAACCCCAGAAAAGCCTTTTGTGGGGAATAACAAACCTATGTTTTTTAATTGTAGAATAATACTGCCCCCGGAGCAATGACACGGCGCAACACATATGTTTGTAGTGAAAGAACCACTGCTGATAGGCATTCAGTGATACAAAATGGCAAGAAGAACAGGTATATAAAATGTCTTCCTATGGTATATGTCTTTTGTCTTCACATATCCAAAAAATTATAATACCTAATTTAAACAAAATCAGTATTCTAGTGTAATTCTAAATGAAAGGTGAGTACAGAGCATTACGGAGCACCTGTAAGTATGTTGTGTTATTTTCTGGGTTTGTTTTTTTTTTTCCTATATTTAATACATAGTCTTTATACTTGGAATGTAAAAATAAATTCCTGGTTTCTGGTTAAATACATGTAATTTTTACAGCCTTCATCTTAAGTCACTTGTTACCTTCTGTGACCAGAAAAGATATGCTTGCAGAAGAGGCTTGTTTAGCTTGAAACTACAAAGTTCATCTCTCTTGGGCCATTCTCTTTTTACATTTCACTCTAAACTGTACTCTGTTGGGATCATTTGGCATACTGTTTTTTCTGTGAAAAGTAGAAAGTAATTTTTTTCTGAGCAAAGATTAGACAGTATAGGCCATTGTCTTGGACCAGAAATGTTTTTTTACTTATGTTTTGTAGTCTTCATTTCTTCCCAGTATTTGCAGAACTCATCTTGAAAAGGAAAGCACTGATATTGCTGTAGTCTAAGTGAAAACAGCAAAATAACAGGTTTCCTCTTAACTTTAGTGAATGAAAGCCTTACTGGAGCATGCAGTGGAATTGGAGTTAACGAGTTCGTATGTAGCCACATCTAGTGCTGTCTTTCCCTGTGTACCAAAGACTGAGGAGAGTTGTGGAAAATTAATACAATAGTGAACGCAAACATTAGGTATAGATTAACAGTTGTAAAGAACAACTGTTCTACCACCAAATTTCCCAGCTGGCTGAGGCGTTTTAGTTCCAACTAGCTGATCTTCACAAAATTTTACTTGTCTCAAAAGGTGGTAACAAGTTATTCACTGTTGCCAGCAGAGCACCCATAAGCTAATAGTGCTTAATAAAGATGCTTAAGCTTGGAGGAATGTGTACTTCTCTCCGACTCTTCACAATTTTCTCTATGCCTTCCTAATTTTATGGTATATTGTAAAGGGTGGGGAAAAAAGTACTTCTAGCTCGTGTTGAAATCTATCTTTTTTGCACAGAATCTTTCCCCTTCCTTTTGGCAGTTTATAAGGAAGGGTAGTGAAGTTGTGATGTTGAAAGGAAAATGTGTCTGACCCTTGGTTGATTCCTGGAGCCTAGGGATAAGGAACGTGGTTTTGACCCTGTCTCTTCCTCCTAGCTTTCTGCAAAGGAAAAAGTCAAGTGTAAGTCTGAAGGGTGCCAAAAGTCTGGCTGGCCAGCTGGGCCTGCGATCAACTTTGTTGTGAAGTACAGCACAGCTGTATGGTACTGTCTCTTAGTGTGTCTGTCTCAGCCTTCATTGCTTAGTCCCTGTTAACATCACCAAGTTTGTTTAGATTAAAGCTCAACATCCCTTCTTTAATTTGATATGTTAATAGCTTTTTTTCTTTCCAGACTCTTGAAAAAAATGAAACTTTCTGTCCAAAATAGCTTTAATAGATTTGACTACTTAATTTCTTAGTTTAATAATATTTTTGTTCATCTTTGAGCTAATACCTTTGCAATACGTTTTTAAAAGTTTAAAAGTTACTAGATACTGTTTACTAGGAATGCTTGAGATTCAGGTGTCCCATTAATTTAGGAGTAACTTCATGCTCCTAAGAACTATCTTTTGAAGTTACTTTTTTTCCCAGCTATGAGTTTCTCAGCAAACTGCTGTCTTTTCAGTTTGTCATACACGGGCACTAATCTAAAAGTTAACATTGAGTAGTACTTGGCAACTATATTAGTTTGTGATTGGTTGTTGTTATGTAACTTACCTTTTGTGGTCAGTACAGTATCCAAACATCATTTGACATCCTGCAGTCTAGTCCTGTTTGGGTTATTTGAAACAGCTGAGCATTTATATATTCACTGCCCGGAAAGGATAATTTTAACTTCTGCACATATTTTTTTATTACCGCTTTTGTTACTCTTTATAGAAGGTTAAAATGAAATAGATAATGAGAATGCATTGGTAATTGCTTTAAATTGGAGACCACTCATTGTCGGAAATGTTTCAACAGTAAACTGCGCATTCATTTTGGCACAGTTTCAAAATTACTGTGATTTGGGACAGAATTCAGAATTTTTCTGAGTATGTTTTGTTGCTGTAACCAGGCAAAGGCTTGACTGATCACATGAGGTGCAGGGACCTTTAATTCAGGCTAAATCAGCATGGCTGTTGATGGGACTGGCTCTTCAGAATGAATCCTGCCTGCCTTCAGGTGTTTCTGTAGTATCTGTCTATTTTATTGTAGTCTCAGAAATATTGTTGTACTAGCAGAAAGTAACTTTAGAAAAATGTGATGTTTTTTTCTTCCTGTGAAGCAAGATCTGAAGTAGAACCTCAGCTTTGTATAAATCCAAGGGTTTGTCAGAAGTGATTTCTATGCTTTTGAAATGTCAGTCAGTGGAAAATATTAAAGGCAGGAGTAATTACTATAGATGATTTGTAACAGATTGGATTTTAGATTTTCCACAGCCAGTCAAATACTGACTGAGCTGGTGGAAACCTGCCTTCAGAGGCAAGGAGGGCACATTTGAAGTTTCAACACTTTCCCTACAGGAAGAATAAAAATGTTACTTGTTCTGTTTTTATCTTACACATTGAATTCTGAGAAGGCATTATTTCTGAAGATACAGAAATTGAAGAACTGGTAGTCAGCTAGTGCACCTGTTGGGGAAAGTAGTCTTGAAGATCCCATGCAAGACTGGTAGAAGCAAAGAGTTTTTGTCTCACATCCCTACTTTTAACACATTGTGTGGCTGACACAGGCATTTTACCGGAGAGGACTCTGTTGGCTTTCCTCCAAAGTCTGAGCATTAATTAAAGCACTTGGGGACTCATAGAACACTCTTCATAATGATAGGCAATTGCTTTAAATCATTTATAACGCAAATGATTTACAACAGCCTCAGATTTTTGATAAGCCTTGGCACTAATTGGTGAATGTTTGCTCACTTTTTTCTCTGTTCTCAGGCTAATAATCTAAGGAAGCTGATTTCTAGCAAAGCTGCAGAGGAAGAGATATAGGTGCTTTGATATGTGCCCTGATACTTTATTGATACCTTTAGCTATCACCTCTTTGGAGGCAGGCGACTAAATAAAACTTGGGTCTAATGTGTTGCAACTAGATTATTTCTCCTGTATCTTTCACAGCAGATTGAGAGGGAAGGAGCTGGACGTACTGGGGAGGCTAGTGACCAATTATTTGGGGATTACATGACTTTAGGGTATTGCTGTTGAGATGAATGCTCATTTCCTTACAATTTATTAATACCCTGGGGTAATGTAAAAGCTGGGTTGTGTTGCAGGCTTCATTGTAGTAGTGCTTGTTGTTGGCATCCTGCTGGATTCAGCATTGTAAAGAGATGAGTGCATGACTCTGGAGTTTTCAAGACTCTGAAAAGTTAGAAACAAAACAGAAAGTAGATTTTTGCTAACCATTCTAGCCAGCAGTTCTGATGTCTGAGCTGTGAGGTGTTTTCTGCTAGTGCTTTGGGAGCTAAGTCTGAGAAGAGGGTCAGCTGACACTTGTAGCTGGAGTACCATTCTCCTCTCCAAATTCTGACATACCAGAGAACAAGAGGGGATAAGAGGACTTGAATTTCAGTATATGTAACCAGGAAGTAACTTGGAAGCGAACATGCAGTGTGATGAAGCTGTCACTGGCAATTCCCGATTTCTTAACCTTGAACAATATTTCTGATTACAATTGCCTTACTTTTAAAGCAAACTTAAGATGACTGGCACACATCATTGTAGCCTGAAAGGCCCAGTACATCTTGTGGCCTCAGTTTTTTCCCATCCTTGTCATTACTAGATAATATGAAGGCTGCAAAGAATTTGTCCCAAAGAAAGAAAAGTATTTCGTGTTATACAGCTGGCAGCTTACTGACCATTCTGCTAAGACAGCACTGTATACCTTCCTTCAAAGCCTGAGCCTCAAATTTAGAGAATTTAACATTTGTGGTCAAGATATATGAAATGCTCTTCAAACTGTAATACCTCTTTTTTCAGAGAACACCATGTGTTATTCATTGCCTCTTACATGTATAGGTTGATTAATAGTAGTCTTTTTGTTTGGGCCTCTCTGGACTTGTTAAAGATCACGATACTGTTGTTTTCTATTTGTGCCTGTGAAGTCCCTTGGTTACCAGATGTAGACTGGGATTTGAAAGCTTGCCCAGATTACACTGATTTCTTTTAACATGGATACATTCTGAAAACAAAGCATTTCACTGTGGTAATAGAGCTGTCATTGTTCTCTTGCAAAGTGCAGTTGGTGGGTTTATTAATGCATTTTTTTAATGTTAAAACCTGTACAAGTTACACAAGTGCTTTATAGAGGTGCTTTGGCACACAGCACTGAGTTACTCAGGTTCTGTACATCGAGAGTAACACTGCAAACTAATGGTAAGAGTATGATCACTTCATAGATGTCAAGTACTATAGTGAGGATGCTTTTTAAGGGGAGTGTAGGATAGTTACTGCTCTTTGCATAGAAGAGGGCTATTAAGAGTTCATGTTTTTTGATAAATAAGTAATAGAAGGAAAAGTTTGCTTTTTTTCTATGCAGTAGTTTGTTGTTGGTCCATCATGCTCTTCTTTCTGCCTCTGCCTGAACCCAAATCCCCTCACAGCCTGACAGAAATGTCCGCTTACGCAGCTAGCCCTGCTTCAGTTTGTACTACATCCTTCTCCAGTGTTCGGCTGCGACATCAGAAGTCGATGTCCATGTCAGCCTCTGTGCACACGAAGATGATGTTGCCTCCAATAGACAATGGCGCAGATAACTTCAGGCCTATGTAAGAACCTGAAATCGTTGTCAAACTAACTTATACCCACTGCTTCTTAACTTTGTGCTGTGGAATTTTAGTCCTAGATTGTTCTAGTTTATATTGCCCACAAGATGTGTGTTTCTTCATTTTTTTTTTAGTCTTGTTTACATTTGTTTTGTGGTGTGTCAGGCTGTCGGTGACATAATCCTGCAATAATGAACCTTAATTTTTTCCTAGTGTTAGGAGTATTGGACATTCCCTATTGTCAGAGTTTGTGGGAGACTTTAACCGTGTATCCTGAAGGACTTTGCTACTTGGAGCAGTTCACTTGTAGAGAATTTTGTGTAGGATACTTTCAAAATTAGCAAGATTTTAAAAGATGTATATATAGAATGTGGAGGGAGAGACACTAAAGTTACTTACTGCTTCTCTTTCCTGGGAGGAAACTTGGCTTGTCTGTTCCTTTATGAGTCTTCTCAGTGAAACAAACTGTATGCCTAGTATATCTGATCTTTTCCAAGACACTTTTTTTCTGACTTTGTAGGTTTCTGTTTCGGCAGCCTTTTAATCCTAACTTCTTACAAGTTTTGATTCCATACAGTGCTGTAATAACGTTGATATTTCCAACCCTGGCCTATATCAAAGTGTCTGCTTATGCTTTACTGTAGAACGTAGTGTTTTGTGTTTCCTGCAGAACTGTAGTGCTTCTTGTGAAGAATTTCTAGCATTGTTTTGTTTTCTGCTCTAGCACTATTCCCGATCAAAGAACTCCTGTTGCTTCAACTCACAGCATTAGCAGCGCAACCACACCTGACCGTATTCGTTTCCCCAGAGGAACAGCTAGTCGGAGCACTTTCCACGGACAGCTCAGAGAGAGACGTACTGCTACCTACAACGGACCGCCAGCCTCCCCCAGTCTGTCCCATGAAGCAACACCACTCTCACAGACTCGAACCAGGGGATCCACTAATCTGTTTAGTAAACTAACTTCAAAACTCACAAGAAGGTTAGTCTCATAAAATGGTAATGCAACTTTTCCTTTTATTAGGTAGTAGAAGTACCTAGTGGCTCATTGCTTAGGTGGTTTTGTCTGTATTCTCTGATTAATGGCTTAACAGTTTCTGCAACTTAAAATGCACTAGCTTATTATTTTTTGTAGTTCTTTTTGGTTACAGAAGCCATGTTTTTAGCAGTTGAATCAAACAGGATAAAAAGTGGGGATGTTTGGTCTGTGCTGTTCCTTCTGTGCTCTTCATCCTCATGTCTGAGATAAAAATGCTGCAGAGCTGAAACATTTTGGCTCAGTTCAAAAGTGGCTCACTCTGCATGGTCTGCCAGTAGGCAGCATAAACTAAGATCCCAGTCTTGATATTTATTGTAGTGTTAGAAGCTCACTTTGTGTTTTCCAGTCACTTAGCTATTGGCATTTCCAGAATAATCCTACTGGCAACACATGAATAGAAATATCACAGGTGAAAGGGTAGGGACAGGAGACAAAAGTTTCTTTTGGCAGTAGCGCTAGCGTAGGTCACTGTAGATAATGCAGGCCTGTGGTTTCAGTCTAGGCAGGAGTCTGGTGAAACCTTACTCCTATTTTGACCTTTAGTTCATGTGCAGATTCTGATTTTGGAGTGAAGGTGTGTTGGTCTAGCCAAAGCCTAGCTTAAGCAGGTTTTGTTCCTACACTAACAGGCTTTTTTTTCTAATTGGACTTCTCATTTCAAACCCATGTATGATTTAAATTAGTTCCTACAAACTCTAAAATGGAAGACCAACTATTCTCCTATATTTAAAACCTGTTGGTTCACATACCACATACTTCAGACCACTATGATATCCACAACTTGTGTTTGCAGAAGTGAGGGTTTGTTTATCTTTGCCTTAAGATAATCTCCATGCTTTTGTACTCTCCTCATCATGTGAAATTTTTTTGGAGTATATGATTCTGATCTTGGCCTGGGTGCTTTTGTGTTAGTCTTGTATCGCATCAGCACGAAGCTGTTTCCTTCCTGTCTGTTCTGCGACTATACATGCTTCCCTCTCAGCATTCCTGTTCATAGTCTCCCATTCCTACAAAATAATGACAACCCAGACTTCAGTTTTTCGTAACTGGCTGATTTCAATTTAGCGAGTGAATTTCTGTAAAAATGTAGGAGTTGTTTCTGTGAAAAACAAAATCATGACAGCTTAGCCTTTGGGTAAAGGTTTTACCCTGCTGAGTTCTCTGCCAGCTAACACTTCCTTGGGAAACACTGTGCTGTATGAAATTCCCCCTTTCCTCCACCCTCCCCCAATTCTTTTTCAGTTGAGAGAGAGATAACAGATTAATTTGGATTTTTTTTTATGATTTAAGTAATCTGCTTTTTGTCAAGTGAAGTCTTAATCAGACACATCCTTTTGGCACATATTTCTTTCTGTACTTTTGTTTGTAATAGCCTTACTTAATTTTCCATCTGACGTGCCAAATGTGGACGCTCAAAATGTCAGTATACAAGCTTTTCACTTGGTTCTTTAGGCAGCATTCAAACTTCTATCATTACTTCCAAGTCTCAACTTTCACAGTGCAGTGTGGTTTTCCCAAAGCTTTTCCCCACTTCTTTTGACAATAGTTGCATCTGTAATTGATTAAATAGCGTGCAGTTGTAACACAATAGCACTGTTACAGATTGTCATGGTTTAAGCCCAGCCAGTAACTCAGCACCACACAGCCGCTTGCTCACCCCTTCCTCACCCCTCCCCAACTGAAAGAATGTAAACCCCAAGGGTTGAGATAAGAGCAGTCCAGTAACTAAAAGTACAATATAGTGATACTAGAAAGAATACCAACAATAACAATAACAGGAAACAACAGAAAAATAAAGCTCAGAAAACAGAAGTGATGCACAATACAATTGCTCACCACCTGCCAGCCAATGCCCAACCCAACCAGCAATCTGGGTCTTCTGGGTAACTCTCCCCAGTTTATATACTGGGCACAATGTGCTGTGCTATGGAATACTCCTTTGGCTAGTTTGGGTCAGGTGTCCTGAGAGACAGAAAAGTTCTTGATCAGGGTAAGCCTACTTAGCACAAGTAAAACACTGGTGTTATCAGCATTGTTCTCAGACTAAAGCCAAAACACAGCACTGCACCAACTATAGGAAGAAAATTAACTTCGTCCCAGCCAACACCAGGACACAGAAGTTTGCGCTTGGCGGACTTCTTACAGTTGGGGCTGTGTTGCAAGAGGTGCTGTACAAGCTACTAAGAAGGTGGATGGTGCCGTCAGAAGACATGGTTTTGTTTCTTCTCTTTAAGGGTTTTGGGTTTTTTAGGTTTTTTTAATCTGTTATTCTAGCATTCTCTATGGATAATCTGAATCCTCATTATGAACTACTTATGTTCTGGTGTAGGCAATTGTTACAGCTTCTGCCACTGAATTAACTAAATATTGAAGGCAGTCCTTGGCACAACGTGGCTGACCTGATGTTATGAAGGAAAGAAGAAACCTAACTCTGGACATACTCAAGATCTAATTATAGTAGAATTACAGATTTTTGTTTTCTATTTGAAATACACGAAGAAAATCCAAACATATTTTGATGTGGCCTTGCAGATTATGAGTTTTAGTGTTTTAACACCAGTACATATCTTAATTCATAATAACTACTGGTGTCATATTTCTCAGGAAAACTAAGTTTGGAAGTAGCAGTGCTAAGGGTTTGACTCTTCATGCCCTGAATCATCTGCCTAATCTCAGAATGCATTGAAGTGTAATTTCCATTGTGCGTTTTAAATGAGATTTTTTTTTTTTTGCATGTTTCGCTCTAAATGGCTTTTTCAATTTATTTTGTACAAAACTTTTTGTTAATTATTATTTTGGCTTAATTTCTTTTAGAAACATGTCATTCAGGTTTATCAAAAGGTAGGATTTTTTTATATTTTTAAAAAAGTGGCTCCTGCAATTAACAACAGATTTGGCTTTCTAGCCTTGGTTTTCTGAAAACTAAACTTCCTGCTGAGAACTAAATTCTTTCTTGAGAGGAAAGCATAGAATAAATCTATTAACTCCTGATGATACTTAAGAATCTGTGGCACCTGTATAACAAGATGCTAAGCATGCCTTGTGAATTCTTCTTTCTTTGATAGAGTTGGTAGTACCAAAGTAATTCTGTTCTCTGTACTAATACACTTAGCATGCTTATGTTTGAAGAATGAGGTGTTTGATAACAATGATGAAAGTATAAACAAAACATAAGGTTACAAGCAAATAAAGGTAAGTGATGCTGAATTTACATTACATTCTCTTTGGTTTATGATATTTTATAAAAAAGAATCAGTTTAAGTGTTGTCTGCGGTTGATACAATAGAAAGCAAGCAGCATGGTTGTGAATGAAGACGCAATGGCTGTGTATTTATTTTAAAATGGGATGCATTTGCTGAAGTTAATTGCAGCGGATGTGCAAAGAGAGCACTTTGGTTATGAAAAAGTATAACATCTATGCAAGTTTATTACAAAATGTCAGAGTTCAGAAGTCTGGTTCACGTTTCAAGCCCAAATGATTGAATTTAGTTTTACAGTTTGGGAATTAATCAGGTTGCTATTTATCTTGTTAATCCATTGCAACTCATGAAAGGTGGTTATACAATTTTGATCCACAGGTACATTTTCCAGTAGGATTTTGTAATACTTTGTTTAGTTGTATCATATCTTGGAGATTCCTAAAGGGTGGGACTTTAAATTTTCAACCACTGATAAAAAATAGGAAGATCAGGTAAAACAATAAATATCTGTTTTAACTTTCAGAATGCAAGGTTATGCATGTGAATGTAACTTTAAGTTCATCAGACCATTTCAAGTAAATACTTAGATTAGGGAGACCTGAGATGTAGATTGCTGTCTGAATTTGGGTTTATTGTGTACAGTCCGAGTCTAAAGGTACCCTACCCAATTAAGTGAGTAAATTCTATGCCATGGTAATAATAATCAGAGCTCTTCCAGACATGACAGTGTTTAGAACTGATATTGGTTGGGTTGGCTGGGGTTGTCACAGCTGCCTTGAGAAAAGGAATATACACTATGTCTTAGTTAAGGAAAGAACCCATCCAGCACAACATACAGATGAAACTGAGCAGCAGCATTAGTTTTAATCTGTTGTGCATTATATGGGCTGTGGAGTGCATATCACTGGTAGGAGGCACCTTCTGTTTCTCTTAGTCATGTTGCTTTTAAACCAAAGGACTGTGATGTGTGCAACCTCCACAACTGGGTGCATGTAAGTTTGTTACACTGCTGCTCTGAAGAAAGATGGAAAATGCTAATATGTGTACAGTTTTAAACTAGAAGGTTACTGTTCAAATTTGAGACTTAAAAAAGGTGATTTTAAATTTGTTTTTTAAAAATTTTCCTTTGACTTGAGGCCAGGAATCTGATTATTGTGGAAATATCTGCTACAGCTTCTATGAATATGTCTTTTGAATAAGAGATTTGCAAAGTCTTGCACCACCTACACAGGACCAGGCTATGCTTTTTTAATTCTTAAATTTAAAATTCTTAAATTTAAAATTCAATTAAGTATCCGTGGTGTCCCAACCTGATCTGTATATGTACAAAATGAAACTGAAGTGCTAGAGGTCTTGGCAATTTCTTCTTGCTTTATATGTTATGAATTTTACCTAAGCTCACTAAGTCTTTGATAGTGAAGGAACTGCTGTAACCCAGTAGCACATATACATATAGTACTGCAATGTCATTCTAGGGAGCTAACCAAAAGTAGGTATCTGTCACTCATTCTTAAATTGTGAGTTCTAATATTGTACTTGGTACATAGAGGTATAAAAATATATATATCTCATGTACCATGTACTGGCCTTGCCAGTCTGCATATTGTGGAAGTCTACCTTTTTTTTCCTGACAGCAAAAATCACTTAATGTTCTGGATTTTCTTGCAGCATCTTTTCTCCAGTTCCATAAATTGATCTTATTTTACTGTCTTGCACTTTTTGCTGGTCTTCCATATCTTTTTAGACCGTTTTCTTTGCATTTATTTGGATTTTTAATAGAGTATACAAAGATGTAAAGAACAGAAAACACAACATAACCCAGGACAGATGCATGGAAACATTTCTTATTTTTCAAAACCTTTCAAAAACCGTAAAGGAGGTAGTATATAGGCATGAAAAATGAGACGTAACTTCCATCTATATTTGTTCCATTCTGAATACCAATGAGTGTCTGGTAGGAAAGTAATGAAAGTAATTTGTATAAAAATACAAGCAAAAGCAGAAAATTCAGAGCATGAACTAGCAATTTGACATTTCTGCAAAAGTGAAGATTGTATCAGCAGTGGGGGGGCTCAGGCCTGCATCTGATTTGCAGACCCCCCAAAACAGTGCTGGGAATTATAGTAAGTAACTGTTCCTGAACACCAGTGCTGGGCAGGTGTTTGTAGTAGAGCTGGACATAACCATGTCTGTCATGAAGAAAAGGAACATCTAGAGAGACTGGCACAACTCTCATAAGCTTGGCATGATGGCTTGTATTTGAGGGTGCATGTCACCATGCGCAGTTCCCTCTGCGAAATGAATGGAACACCGGTGCGTGAAAGAAAGTAAGGACTTTCTGAGAAGCTCCCATGAAGGTGTTTGTTATTTCAAAGTGGCAGGTATTTTGCAAATAATTACTTTCTTTGATTTAGAGTACAGTGGTTTAGAAATTGAATAATTTGGCTTAATTTCAGCCTGAAATGTGTCTTAAGAACATCATTAGGGATTTTTCCTCCTGGACTTTTCTGGACAGATTCCAGTAACAATATGACTGTTAGTTGCTGGGGAAATTGGTTATTGGTTTTAAACAAAAATACAAACAAAATGAAACAAACCAACCCCAAGAATCCATAAGAGCTTGCAGCTGTTGACAAAGCCGATGTTTCCTACCTTGTAGGAATATAGGAGGCTCTTTAAAGTTCAAGTACTCTCAGTTTTTCAATTGAGCAGTGTCTACAGACTTGTTGCTTGCTTTGCCAGCGAATGAGCCTTTCCCAGATCATCTGAAAGGTGTGGATTTGTTCAGTTGGTACATGTGATTATCTCTCCCATCCCACCTACCCCCCTTCTTGGTCCTACAGAGTTGTCATAAAGGATGAACACATAGACTGTATATGCAGACCTTAAAAATCCTTCTCTACCTTCTCGTGTATCTACCACAGATCCATAGCACAAGATCTCATGAAAATAGCTACCATTAAAAACTCACTTTGAAGCAGTAGAATTAGTTGAGGACTTGCCTGTTGTTTCCTTCTTGTTATCTTCCTTATCCTTTTAGCATGACAGCTGTTCATTAGTCAATGGCAAACGTTTCCTAGCAAAGACCCTTCTGTGCCATGTGCTGAGCAGCACTTCATAGAGCAGGGTTCTGATCGGATGCTGTTGTGACAAGCACCTCATAGCTGAGTGACTTAGCGCTTTCTTAATTAGAATTCTGTTGCAATAGCAGTGTAAATTTTGAACGAGGAGCAGGCTCCACAGCCTAAACAGCAGGTGCTGCCACCATGCTCTTCACAGGGCTAGCACACGTCTCTTCCCTTGTGACAGGGACTGCATGAATTCCATTTACAAGCCTGTTGCTTCACTGCAACCCTCAAAAGGAAGGAAAGGAGGAAATTAAACTTTTTAACACCCCACACGCACTGATATAAATACCACTGTGCCTCAAAAAAATCAACTCTTACACTGCTATCCCTAGACACCTGTCAGCCAAACTGCTGTAATAATTTGCATTATTAAGTGAAGCCATGGACTAGCCTAGAGTAGTTTGATAAGAGCCTTATAAAGGCAGCTTTCCTCTGAGCAGAATTGGTGCCAAGATGTCACACTGTGGTACTGCAATAATGGGAAGGTAGAGGAAGATCATTTTGCCCGTAATTCTGCTTGATCCTGGGTTTTTAAAAAATAGTAGTTATCAGCAGTGTAGCTTTAAGCAATGCAAGAAGACAGAAGGCTTAAGCTTACTCTTAGATGTGGAAGACTGGAAGATGCGTCAGCATGGGGATAGGATGGAGTTACAACAGCTTGACAAATCTTGGCTTTACCTCTAAACTTTTGTTAAAATGTGTATGCATATTACTCTTTTGTGTCAAGGTATTTGGTATTGTTTAAACACTAATACTTTAGACCTGATGCATGTGCAAACACAAACACAGGGCGACTAGATTTGTCTCTAAATAGGGTAGTTATTTCTCTTGTAGGGAGGTACTTACTAAATAATACAGTAACTTCAGAATGCTGTGTAACTTTAGTCTCATGTTTTCTGCTTTTAGAAGTTCAACTTTATTCGTGTGAGTTCTACAATATTAATATATATATAAATACACTGTAAAAATTAGTTACGGTCTTTTTAAACTATAGTTTATAGACTTCCATTTGGTTTGACAGTATGTTAGATTCTGAATTTGGTCTAACTGACAAAGTTCTTTACATCTTCGTTGCTTTGTATTTTAACACACCTTTAGTATGATTGCGGTATCTTTTAGCAACTACTCAGATATTGTATATTGTAGTGTAAGATTTGTCTTCTCTTTCCCACTTCCTTTTGCTTCTGCATTCTTTTCAATGAGGCTCCCGACTGAATATGAGAGGAACGGGAGATTTGAGGGCTCAAGGTGAGGGTAAATTTTTTGTTTAAAATGTTACTTAGATGAGTTTGAACCTTTCTCCCTTTGGTTATGTGGCGTAGCAGCTTCAGGCAGCAGCTTTTGTTTCGTGTAAGGCTTTGAAACTAAACAAACATTTCTGTCTGCACAACTGTTGAAGCACTGACTTCGTCCTAAACTTTCATCTTCCTGTTGCCTTTTCCCTTGTGTGGTTTGGATTTTTGCATTTTAGTCGTTGTAATTTGCTGTTGTCTTGTAGCTGTGTGGGTAAGTGGTCTCTAGTGAGGCTGCAAATGTGCGGTATAACCACTGAAGGGTGATATTTCTCACCTCCAAAATCACAGACAGTATTCTTCATGTTACATTTTACTTCCAAAATCTGTATATCAAAAAATACAAGAAATGATCAAACTCGTGCAGGTTCTGCCAACTGTTTTCAAGTAGAAAAAGCTTTCAGAAATAAAATGAGCATTGAATAGAAGTTGGTTCTTCCCCAGCACCCTTACAGCCTTTTTTAATTTAAAGTTAAAACAAAGTACTCCCTAATTTGCTTGCTGAATTTCATAACATCTGGCAAATCATGTAGCTGGGTTTGACAACATAATCCTGGGACTCTTGCAGTTAGTGGAAACCTTTTTAATAGAATGTTAAACTAGGAAATAGGCTATATTTGAGAAATATATTTATTCAGTTTTGACCTCGCTGTCACTTTTTATTTAACTTTTTCATAATTGCCTGCTTAATGGTGGTAGAAGAAGAGCATTGTGTAACCAGAAATTCATGGTCAACTATTTTAAAGAGCAGCTTGTCTTAATATTGTAACTTTGAAGCTCAATATGAGACCTGAACTGCATGGTTTGGGATCAGTCAGGTATCTTCAGAAAATATTTAAGCGTAATAGTCAATATATTTAATTCTCTCTTTTTCCCCTGGGTGTCCAAACGTGGTTCCTTATTCTTTAGCTGCGTGGACCCTGGTCCTGCTGTGCTTCCTCCTGCTTGCAGCTGGCTACTGCGGGACCCCATCGGCCTTCCCTGTGCTTGGCCTGTACCCTGTTGCACAGGAAGAGGTGCAGAGGAACACCCAGGATCTTCCTGCAGAGGCTTATTCCCATTGCTTATGATAGGGCACTTGCCATGGGCTGGCACTCCCACAATTTGGGCTGAGCACCTTTTTGCCACAAGTCGCCAATATTTGAATGTTCCAGAAACTTCTAACACAGAGCTGGTGTTCCAGCTGCCCGCACGGCCTGAGAATAGGAGTTTGAGCAGAACCTGTGTTAAAATCGAGTTGTAGGTGAGGCATGTAGTTTTACTTCCACAAGGTTATTTCCCTCATGCTCTTGACTCCAGTGACTTCCAATTGTGTCACATGTCGTAGCATACCTTTGTTTCAGCCCCAACAGCTAATGCTTTACCTTGACTGTGTGTTTGTACAGCAGCTAGAAAAGCAGGAGCTCACAGCCGGAGCCTCTAGATGCTGCTCTAATACTGGTAGTGTGTGTTGAGTGTTAGTGTGCTTCAGTAATATGAAATGGGGAGAAGGTGGCTGGCCCTGCTAACTACGAAATCCCTGTCTTTCAGCCGCAATGTAGCTGTGGATCAGAAGGATGAGAACAAGGAAGCCAAGCCTCGGTCTCTACGTTTTACCTGGAGCATGAAAACCACCAGCTCCATGGATCCTAATGAAATTATGAGGGAAATACGAAAGGTCCTGGACGCCAATAATTGTGACTATGAACAAAGAGAGCGTTTCTTGCTTTTCTGTGTCCATGGAGATGGGCATGCGGAAAACCTTGTACAGTGGGAGATGGAGGTGTGTAAACTGCCAAGACTGTCCCTGAATGGAGTTCGCTTTAAGCGGATATCGGGAACATCCATAGCTTTCAAAAACATTGCTTCCAAAATTGCCAATGAGTTAAAGCTGTAACAAGAAAAATAGTGAAGTTGGAAATTAGTTAGCAGTTTCAAGTGTTTTTGAGAATTCCGATGGAAATGTATAGAATAACATTTAGGCAATAACTTCTGCATCCTTCTGAATAGCGATATTAAAAAAAAAAAAAAGCTGCTGAGCTGGGAGGGAGAGTTGAACTTTTTTATAAGTGCACTACAGCATTAAAGTTGCCTACTATGTAAAATATTACCCCTTCTGCTTTATTTCCATTGCTCCTAAGTCTTTGACAACAAATTGAAACACAGAATATATTCATTTAAATATGCCTCCTGTTTGTGTGGATGTGTGAATGTACAGTATGTGTGTATAATATATAAAGTATTATATGTAAACAATTCATTTACAACATTGAGCTGTACCAGTACCTCTTTTTGGGCTAATTTTGGTGCTAAAAATTGAAATGGCCAAGGAGGAAACACTTGAGTTAAATATTTAAAATAACTGAAGCGATAACTAGTAAATGCAGGTTTACAGTTCACTGCTGTGTTAAGAAAAAAAAGTGTGTGAAGGGTTTGGATTTACGGTTGTGAACATTATTAGTCCTGTTTTCTAAGTAGATCTCATGAGATTATTAAAAATTCACTTTTACTGAGTAAGTCTTGCATTATATTTTGCCCACCTATTTATTATTTAAGTCTGAATCAAATTTAAAAAAATGTAGTTGATTTGTGCATTAAAATTTGGGTAAAGACTTCCATTCTTCTGCTTCTGCTAAACTACTAAAATGGTATCTTTGTCATTTTGGCTTATGAGTATTGATTGCAGCTAAGAACACTTTTCTGTTATTCACCGTTCCTCTACAGAATGAGGCCGTCTTAAAAGGACGTGCTAAATGCTAACTAGTGATTTTTCTTTCTGACCAAGTTCTCCATGTTAGATTAGGTCAGACTGATACAAAACACAAAAGGACCCTCAGATAGCAACCATATTGTGACGCAAGTCACCACATGTGAGTTGATGCCATTCTGAGGTATTGCTGCACATGTGGCAGTACTGTCCTTTGTGTTCGGGACACGCACAGTATCGAAACCCAAAAGTGGGAATCGAATTGACTACTCATCTCCTCTGTTGTAACATCCAATTTGCTACACTACAGCCATAGGCAGTATAGTTAAATCTTGCAGCTCTCTTCCAGTGTGCTTCCACTTGGGTCTGGTTGTATTCCTTTAATGGCTTTGTGCCAGTTGCATCTCTAGCTGCTACTGCAGAGGGAGTCCACTGCTGTTCTTTTAACATGGAAACACACATTTGATGAACTCTGGTCAGCTAGCTTTCTGTAGTGTGTGAAGCTGCTCTGGGATGGTGCCCACACTTCAGCCATCACTGCGGTGAGCTGGATTTGATTTTGCAAACTAGAATGAAGAGGTTTCTTCATGCATTGTTTCTTACTGATACTCAGTTTTTCATCAAGAACTTATGTCAGTAATATCCTGCATTATCTGCTTGACTTTTTGTATTAATGTTTTATGGTTATATTTCAGTGAAGCACTTAAGCATGTACTTAACATGTGCTTTGAACTGGAGCCTAAATTTGCGTTTTAAATTTGCAGCAAGCTAGTAGTTACTCATAGTGCACAGTTCAGATTTGAACCCAGGTGAAAAATGCAAAATCTTGTATTTTTCAAGTTAGTTCTTGTGATCTGTAGTCTGTGAAGGCAGCAGACTTCCCCTCTCTTTCCCCATAAACACTGATATTGATTATGCTAGTTTAAAGGGTAATTTTAGTTGTTAAATGTAGTAAATATTCCTGAATTTTGCATTTTATTCTGTGTGTATTCTGTATCATGCTGTGGCTTGAGAACTCCAGGTGCTGCTGGAATTCATTTGGTGTTAGTGCTCTGCCCATGCCTGTGCTGCTCTATGATTTTTTCCCCCATGAAAACTCCATTTTGTAACAGCAATAAGACATTTCAGAGCGGTCATTGTACTTCCTCATGTGATTGGTCTTTCAGTTTGGTCTCTTTTAGCCTTCTAAGAGCGTTTTAACCTTTGGTGCAAACAATGGGCTCCTGTTCCAGGAATAACTGAAAACAGAAGTAGTGTCAATACCAACACTGCAAATCCTGTAAGTAATTACCTGTGCACAGAAGCCACGTTCAGGGCGTTAATTGCCAGTTGCTGGAAGTTCACCTACAAGTGCCATTAGCACCTTGCAGTGGTTGTGGCTTAGCAAGTAAGATACTGCAGAAAAAGAATAGCTTTTGCTTGGGTTTTGCTCATGTGCGTTGAGTACTTAGAACTGTGTGTTCTGAGATTGGGATGCAAAATTCATGCAGGGTGGCCATGGTTATAGTTGCCGTGGGAACCGCAGCATTGAATTTCAAGGCATTGAAATGTTGCAGTTCTTATCCCATTAATACCCTTATGTTACCGTTTAATAATACCCTCATGAAATCCAGGGCATAAACCCAAAATATTCATACAGTTCATGTTTCTTTGTAGTTGCTGATTGCATTGAATGTGTAAGGTGAGTAAAAATAGATAATTAAATCTCTTGCCATGAAAACAACTCTGGTAAAACACATGGGCATGCAAAACCGTAGTAGTAAATGCCAGTACATAGAAGTAAAATGCTACTGGTATCAACAGTCACACAGTTTTCAGTCACTTGCTTACTTCAAGGTAAAGTCCTGTTTGCTTAGAGGTGTTTCTTACCCAAGACTTCAGCACAGAGTGAGCACTGTAATCAACTACAAACAGCAGTCTTTCTAAGCACAGAATTGTTTCCACCTCCCGGCTTATCCAGCCAAAACACATGAAATTAAGTGCTTTCACACGTGTTTCCGCTTCGGTAGGAAAAACAAACACCAGCCTGATGGGAGCTTGGAGTCGTATGTTTTAATTGTCCTGTGCCAAAGGAGCAGGGGCTGGCGATGTGGGGTATGCGCTGAAAAGGCAGAGGCTGCCAGGCAGGGTCGGATGGCGGGATGGATGACACCGAGCTGGCTGCAAGGCAACGGAGGGACGTTGCAGTGTCTGCGGTGGCCACAGGAGGTCTCTCAAATGCAGAAATAAGGCTCTGGTTGGTGCTCGTCTGGAGGAGTGTTTTTACAAAACGGCTCCAAAGATCACTTGCTGCGTGCAGAACGGCAGTTTCACATCGGTTATAGGTGTTATCATCTCCTTGGACAATTCTGACTTGTTAAAAGCATTAGAGGGGGAACACACAGCAAGATACTGATGAAAGCTGCAAATTTTTCAGTTTGAAAAATACCCTAACGCTATCTTTAACTTTCCAGTATGATGTTGTTTCAGAGGTGTTAGTTAGATGGTCTTTAGCTTGCCATGGAAAACCTGTAGGGCTGCAAAACCCTGCAAAAGCCTTGTTCCATCTCCTTTCCTAGAAATGACCATGTTTCACAGCAGGCTTTTCTGCTGAGGAGGGCAAAAGTAATACTGAATATTTAAATTAATTTCCAGCTTTTTAAAGAATAAGAATCTTTGTGTTCCTGTTTGGAAATTTAATTGCTGAAGCTATTTTGGTGTTCATCCTTTAGTAATCAGTCCAATCAAGATTCTAAATTGCAGCCAGCCTGTTCTAAAATAATCTGGGATCACTTGCCATTTATATTTCTCTGTATTAAGCTCTCTAAAGCTTTATGGCTGGCATTTTCCATCCCTGCAGTCTGTTTTAATCTTCAGACAAATCTTGGTCCTTGTGCTGTGAGTAGGCAAGAAGTGAAACTTCCTTATTTGCTCAGGCTTTTTTTTCAAATCACATACTTTTCCTGCAGCTTTCTTTTATTGTAATCAAAGCTTTGCCATTGGGGATAATAGCAACTGGTACCAACATTTATCACTAGGATGTTTGGATTTGGCAAGTGGTATTGGAGGAGCTGTTTATTTTGGTCAGTCTCAGATTTTGTGTCCTTTCTACAAAGGAGCCCTGCAGCTTGTCCCCTCCTTTCTGCAGTCCTGTTGCATCAGCTGCTGCCAACCCCTTCCATGCTCCTTCCAAGGTGATGCTCTGAAGCACTGGTTGCAGTGGGAGCCATGGCAAGCGCAGGGCTCATCACTTCATGCATGGCTGTGCGGTGGGAGCAGCAAAAGCAGAATTTTGCTGTTGAGAAGTTCTGTTCCTCATCACCAATCTGGGGGCAGCCACTACAGCAAATGTTGTTGGGTCATGTATATATATATGAGTGGTTTTATCTAACTGACCCCTTTATGAATCTCTTTATCCCTGGCATCTAAAGCTTGTTGCTTTCTCCTTATCTCCAGAGATGAGCCTTGGCTGGACTCTTCTGGCTGAATGCTTCTTTGAGCTCAAGTCTTGATTCAAGGGACAGTCCCTTTTTGAGGTCTGTGATGTCAGAGCTCCATGAATCTCTCCAGACTGGGTCTGTAAGTGCTCTTATAGCTGGGGAAAGAGTACAAGTGCTCCAGGGCCCCTGAAACATACCAGTGCTGGTTTGTGGTATGCTGCATGGCAGATGCAAAAGGATTGGCTCAGTATTCCATTGAAGTGATTCTTCAGGCCTGGAGGACAGTAGCTCAGGTGAGCCTAAGAGTGTAATGAATGGTTGAATTTAGAGCAGTCACTAGGATGAGAAGGAAGGAAACTCATCTCCTCTGGATGATTTCGGTTCCTAGGTGCTTTCCAGACTTCTTGTTACGGAATAAAGGACGTCACCACAATGCATACTTGGCTAGGTGTATTCTGTAATGCAGCAGGGCCTGCACAGTGGTGAGAAGTATGCATGATGACAAAATGCTACAGTGAGATGCTGTGTGGACTGGTGGCAGAAGAGGAAGATGGTGAGCACCACCTCAGGTTGCCCCTGGTTCAAGTGGATTGGTGTCAGGGGCTCAGTGTACCATTTCCCATCTCACACTTGGTGCAAATACTCTTGGGGTAAAGCTGCAGCTCACAGAGGCTGCATGGAAAGGCCAGTTCCTTCTCTAAGCTCTGACTTCAGGGGACTTTATTTAGGGATGTTTATCTCTGATCCATGCTCTGACCCTGGTTGAAGCTAGCTGACAGATTGAGCGTACATGAGCACAGGCACTCACACACAGTGCATGGCTACATAAGGCTTGTTTCTCTGGGAAACAGCCTAAAAACTGACAGTTCACACAGCAGGGACCAGATCTGCCGATCAAGAAGCAGCTCTCCTTAAAAGGTCACTTTTCAGGTCAAAGCCACACTTGGGGTAAATCGTGATGGAACAGGGATGAATTCTGCTGTGCAGAAGGGGGAGCCAAGCTTTAGTTTGCACCTTACGTCTTGGGTAACTTGGAATTCTACTGACCGTTCTCCAGTTTTTTAGCTGGGTCTGCCAGGGTGAGTGTTGCATAGAATCATAGAATAGTTAGGGCTGGAAAGGACCTTAAAGGTCATCTAGTTCCAACCCCTCTGCCAAGGAACACCTTCCACTAGACCATGTCACCCAAAGCTCTCTCCAACCTGGCATGATACAAGACAGATCAGTGGTTTTTTCCTGACTGTTTTACATCTGGGTATTCTGCTGAAGCAGCAGGGAAATGTGGAACAACCTTTGCAAAGCAGTAAAAGTAAAAGCAGCAACAAAAGCATCCTCATGGATAAAAATAAAGCAGGGGGATGAGAGCCAAGGTTTATGGGGAGACATGCTGT